TGCCTTTATCTTTGTTTCTTTATGGCCTGGAACATTGAATGATGCATAGTAGGTATTCAGTGTTTCTTAAGTGAGTAATGAATACTTGTATAAGTTTTGATGTTTTGAAGATGAGATTGGCCAACTGGGTATTTAAGTTTCTCTGACGCTCTTCAACAAATAAAAGTGAAAATTATGTAGTAAAGTGAGAGGGATTCAAGAGTTTGCTTCATTTCAGTACCTTAAAATATTGGTGATTTGGTAGAGAAGGGTAGGTAGTAGAAGTCGATCTAAGGAAAAATAATCAATTGAGTCCTTTTTTTGTTCTTTTTGCAGAGTTTGCCCCTCAATCCCAAACCTTTCCTCAATGGATTAACAGGAAAGCCAGTAATGGTGAAACTTAAGTGGGGAATGGAGTACAAAGGCTACCTGGTATCTGTAGATGGCTATATGAACATGCAGGTAAGCTAAAGCATTGTAGAGATCATTCAGTTGTGTTTGTTTTGCTTCACTATAAACCTCAAAGGTTTAGTGTGACTTACAGGAATACAGTCAATTACATTGACAAATATAAAGCAAAATTCAGGAATAAGTTAAGGCCAAGGAAGACATTATAACTGTGATAAACTGTGTAAGAGACATGGTGTTAAACCAAAATTCAGCCACAGATTTGGCTCCTGGTGGTTAAAGTAAGAATAGCTCAGACCGTTGATTCACAATGCCATAAGGAAAACGAACTAGTTTGTGGGAAAAGCAAAACTTTTTTCAGGACTTAGCTCTGAGAGAAATTTTTTTTTTCCCATAAAGCCAATTTATTCTTATAGTTTTTTTTTCCCCTGAGGAAGATTCACCCTGAGCTAACATCTGTTGCCAATCTTCCTCTTTTTGTATGTGAGCCACCACAACAGCATGGCCACTGACAGATGAGTGGCATAGGTCAATGCCTGTGAAAAAACCTGGGCTGCCGAAGCAGAGCACATCAACTTAAACCACTGGGCCACCAAGCTGGCCCTGAAAGAAATTCAAGTGAAATTCTTAAGTCTTTTAATAAATGCTTAAGGCACATCGTCAGAGTAATTCCATAAAAGCATTTCTTGAGGGAGAAGACAGACCAGCACCTTTTGGCTATTGTGAATAATGCAGTGAACATGGGTGTACAAATAGCTGTTGGAGTTTCTGCTTTCAGTTCTTTTGGGTATATATTTCCAGAGGTGGAATTGCTGGATCATACAGTAATTCTTTAATTTTTTGAGGAGCTGCCAGGCTGTTTTCCACAGCAGCTGCACCATTTTACATTCCACCAGCAATGCACAAGGATACCAGTTTCTTCACATGCTCATCAACACTTATTTTCTGTTTTTTTATAATAGCCATCCTAATGAGTGTGAAGTGGTATCTCAGTGTTTTGATTTGCATTAGTGATGTTGAGACGTTTTGATGTGCTTATTGGCCATTTGTATATCTTCTTTGGAGGAATGCCTATTCATGTCCTTTGCCCATTTTAAAATGAGGTGTTCAGTTTTTTGAGGTTTTTTTCCCCTTAATTGTAGTAGCTTCCAGCCAGGTTTCTGAGGAAGGAGTTTGAGGTTATATTTTCCTGAGGTGCAGGTATTTATGTGGCTGATGAACGGTAGATGGATGAATTTTATAGGTTACCTAGATAGATGGTCAGTCCAGCTGTGACTCCAAGTATTCCATCCCAGTAGAACTTGTAGGCAGAGTACTAACACCAGCACTTGTAGGCAAAAAGCTGAGATTTTCCTTAATTTAAGAATTTACCACCTGAACAGATGACAGTCAGGCCTCTGAAGTTCTCATAGAGCGTGGTTTTGGCCTGAAAATTCCCCAAGCAGGGATGAATCATTTACCAAGGCCATAGAAAAATCTGAAGAGTTATACGCATTGTGCTGAAAATGTTCCAGGCTTAGATAGTGGTGATGATTACAGAACTTTATGAGTATACAGAAAACCAGTGACTTGTACACTTCAAAAGTTAATTTTATGCTATGGGGATTATATCTCAATAAAAGAAAGGAATAAAGAATACACACCGAATATTTGGTTTAAAACTAATGTAGCTTCCTAGTGAGCCTGCCAGAGTTATGAAATGTCTCTAACTAACCACATTGATGATGCTTCTGAGTTTGTTCACTCAGCGAATATTTATTGAGCGCCCTTTATCTGCCTGGCACTGTGAATACACCAGTGAACAAAACAAACTCCCTACCCTCAACAAGTTTATGTTTTAGTGGTGGGAGATGGAAATAGAATGTGATGTGATATGAGGTAATGATAAATGCTATGCAGAGAAAGAAAGCAGAAACAGGAAATAGAGTGACAGGAGTGTGCAATGTTAGATAAGTTAGCCAGGGAAAGCCTCTGTGAGGAAGTAAATTTAAGCAGAAACCAGAATTGAGTGAGCAACTGAAGAGAGTATCTGGGGAAAGAGCATCCCAGTTTGAGGGAGAAGCAAGTGCAAAGGCTTTGTGGCGAGAATATGCTTGGTGTGTTCAAGGCACAGCACGAAGGCCAGAGCAGAGTGAGTCAGGGGAAGAAGAATGATGGAAAAGTTGGAATGGTAATCATAGATGGCCTTTTAAGTCATAGTAAGAATAAGGACTTTGAATTTTATTTAAAATGTGATAGAAGGCCTTTGGAGGATTGTTGTATAATTTAGAAACCAGTTAAATGTTGGTGAACAGCTGCTAAAAGTAATTACTTTAAAAAAAGTTACTTGATGTTAATATCTTATTTCTGGGAGCTGTTACATGCAAAACTAATTATCTCAACAACCACACGTTTCAGACAAACCATATCCTTTGGGTATAGGAGATTACTTTTGTTTTCTGTGTGAGAGGGAAAAACATGCAGTAGCAGTGTTAATTCATTAACGTATTCTAAATGCCTTATCTCACATCCGCTGTAAGCCCTGTTTTTCTTTCCCTTTGCCACTTGCCCATTTAATGAAGGAAACTTCCCTCTCTCCTTTCTCTGCTGTTCATTTCTTTTGTGAGTCCCAGATAGCGCTGATTGTGATTTTTAAAAATTACAAGTAAAGTTTATTACCTATATGTAGAAGGAAAGCTAAACATTTTGATGTAACATTAGAAATAATAGAGTTCCCTAAAATAACTATACAGTCACTCTTAATTGTTAACCTCTCAAGAACTTGTGTTTTGCTGTTTATTATTAGCATATAATTTTTTAAAAAAATTCTTCTTCAGTTCTTTGGTTTGGTTGTTGACTAATATCAAAGTATTTGGTATTTTAGCCGTAGGTTTTATACCTCTTGAGTTCCTCAATATGATGTAACATTATTACTCTGAGAAAGGTTAATGTCTGGTTCTTTAGAACTGAATTTTTGGAAAACTTTTTTTTTTTTTTTTTTTTAAGATTTTATTTTTTTCCTTTTTCTCCCCAAAGCCCCCCGGTACATAGTTGTGTATTCTTCGTTGTGGGTTCCTCTAGTTGTGGCATGTGGGACGCTGCCTCAGCGTGGTCTGACGAGCAGTGCCATGTCCGCGCCCAGGATTCGAACTAACGAAACACTGGGCTGCCTGCAGCGGAGCGCGTGAACTTAACCACTCGGCCACGGGGCCAGCCCCTGGAAAACTTTTTAACCACAATTTATTCATAAATTTAGGACCGTCTTCCTTGACATTGCTTTAATGTCTAATGAAAGGAAATACTACATAACTGAGAGATTTAAAAAATTATGTTGAAAGAAGCTTTATTATATATTAGTTCTACATACATCAATGTTAACTTTACCAAATGTTTATATGAAACCAAAAAGTACTACAGTAGTAATAAAGAGCTAATCTTCTAATTATTATAGATAAATGTGAGTTGTTGGTATAGAAAGATCTCAGCTAATAAGTTCTCTCACCAGTATTAGGTGTGTTATACTATTTCCTCCTGTATAATTATACTAATATATTTTCTTTTATTTAAAGCTTGCAAACACAGAAGAATACATAGATGGAGCATTGTCTGGACATCTGGGTGAAGTTTTAATAAGGTAACAAAATGGCAGTAGTATATGTAAGGAGTTACTGGTGAGCATTAGAAATACCTATATTTAAATAATCTAATTAGTACCTCAATTTCAGAATTACTTTTTTAAAATAACTATTAATTTAATATTCTACACCTAGACTTCAAGAGTCTTGGAAATTTTTAAACTTGACAAAGAAGATTTAAATTTTTTGGAGCTATTCATCCTTAAGATTTTTCTAGTGTTGATATTAAACTTTCCAGCTCTTAGTTATAACCTTTTTCAGTGGTTTTAGTTGCAGATGCTTGGTTTTGAATTTTAGTTGGGTCTGGCTGCTGTTGGGGATTTTTCTTATCCTCATTTTCTAGAACTAGCTTCACACTTCCAAATTCTAGTCATTATTCTCTTTGCGAGATCAGAGAGATGCCATTTTATGACAACCACATGGTAAAAAAAATAAAGTGCCATATGCTTTTTAACAAGCCAGTGGTATAACTGTTTTTTAGAAAAAAAGAAATGATGCATTTAAATTTAGCAGTCAGTATTTCTATAATGAAAAAAATCTAGTAGTAGTAATTCAGATCTTATACGGTTTTCGATTGGAACAACAAAATGGACTGTTTTTCTATTTACAGGTGTAATAATGTCCTTTATATCAGGGGTGTTGAAGAAGAGGAAGAAGATGGGGAAATGAGAGAATAGCATGTTTTGTGGGGAATGTTTTTATATATATTTCTAGACAATAAAGATTTGTTTGTTTTTCAACTTGACTTGTGAACTAGTCATATTCAGATATTTACATGCAGAGCTCAAATGTTGAAACAATTGAAAGATTCTTCACAGAACTAATGCTTTAAAAGCCACTTAACTTCAGTCAAGTTGGTTTTCTTTTTTCAGCACAACTCTGTTTTTTTCTATAAGGGAAAATTATTTCCATGCTTTATAAATGTTTATGAAGGTGAATTTCAACCCTTTTCTTGTAATTATATATTATCTGAGACCTTTTAAAAGCAACTGGGTTTTCTTTTTGTTACTTTTGAGCCACTTTTGACATGTATAAAGTTAAATATTTTCTTAGAATTAATATAAACCGTATTATTTTACTTAGTAGTCAACAAATTACATGTTAATTCTCTATCAATGTAAGCTAAATAATGTACATATTATAGCTAAAATTGAAACATCACCTGAAATAATGATTGTGGATATAGAGTACAACAGAAATTGTGAACTGACATTTGGGCTGAAGGCGTATGGTTTGTTCACTTAACAGAATTAAGTTTTCTGAGCAGAGTTCCTTAACTGTGAATTACAAACCAGTCTTACACTTATGTTCTGAGAACATAATCTAGTAGTTTTCATTTAAGTTTTAAACTCCTCAAAACCTTTTAGATATTTTATACATTGTTAAAATGTATACTCCACAGTGATAAAATATATACTATGAACTTTCCTGTGGACTGGTTGAAAAAAAAAATAGATCATTTAAAGTCTCATGTTGTCAGAGAATGCCATTATTACACTTTAATGGCCATTCAACATATAGTTACATCAGTAAAGTAACTTTGGATTGATATCCCCAACTGGGACAACTCAAAGTATAGATACAAATGTTTAGCTATATAGAATAATACTTAGGATATGATAATAAAACACTTCAACAAAGGAAATAACTCACATTCCCAATCCTATAACCTTTAGAATAAGGGCCTGTTTTCCTCAAATTGGATAGGCCAGCATATGGGGCAGAATATTGCCATTACTGAAAACCAAATCTACAAAATATGCCGATAATAAATGTCTTACTGCTCCTATTCAAGTGAAAAAATATTCTTCCTCTAGTGATTTTGTTCTTGTATCCTTGACTAAAAATAGTTCTTGTTTATTACCAGATGGAGGTTTTGAGCGATAGACAAGTCGTCTCCCCAGCTGAAACAAAGGAAAAAATACTTAATATTCTTCAGCATAAACATTTTCTATTGAAGTTTAAGTAAAATACTAATATTAACTTGATTTTCCAAGGAATAATATGGCTTAAAATAGTAAGTAATCACAGTTACAAAGAGACTAATAACCTAGTGGATGTCCAACAGGCCAAGGAAAGTTAAGTAATAAATGGAGCACCATAGTATGCAGAAGACAGAGCAATTAGGTTTTATGGGCAAGTGGGGAGATTTAGGTAGTCATCACATCAGTTTCAGATGTGATCAGCCTAGAAAAACATCATGTTTGAGACCAACATTTCATTTCTCAGCAAGTGCCATAGCTAGTTTCTCCTCCATTGGTTAGAAAATAGCGCTGTCTTCTGCTGAACATCAGTTGACTGGCATTTAAAGCTCCTGTATAAACATAAACTTGAGAAAACCATGTGCTGTCTTAAACACTAGTAATCCTGTTGGCTCTTGGAGATGTTCCCACCAAGAGAGGCTTATGGAAACCCCTAGATTCACACCTGTCCATTCTCTCTGGAGCATATACTCACATATACCATACTCTTCATTTTTCTTTTTCAGTCTTTTTTTTCTCCCTTTATTATTTTTGTTTGTTTTGCTCTTATATCTGAATTTTTGTAAATTAAATGGATGAGAAAACTATTCTATTGGACATGAGATTTGATGGGACATTGCCATTGTGTCTCAAAAAGAGCACTGTCTCTAAGTGAGGCTGTCCCCTGCACTGCAGAATGTTTGACATTCCTGGCCTCAGGGAACTAAATGACAGTAGTACTCCTCCCCATCAGAAATGTCCTTAGGGGGCTGGAATACCTGAATTCCTTTTCTAATGTCAGAATTTTATTTTTTTTCACTGTCAGTAATCTCCTTTGTAACCTTTGTTATTACCGCTGTCTGGGAATATTGCCAGTGATGAAGTGTCCTAACTGGTAAGAACTTCTATCAGAGGTCTTCATACATTGTCGACTTAAGCAGATCACTGTTTTTTTTTTTTTTCAATTTTCTTCCAGTTTTAGTTTTCATTTTCATTTTTAGGCTGTTAATTCAGTAAGCATTTATTGAGTATCCACTATGTGCCAGGCATTGTGGAAATAAAGGTCATAAAACTCATTCATGGTCTAAAAGGGAAGATGGATAAATTTTTAAAAAATCATTTCAGTTTGGTGGGATTAGTGAATAGTAGTATGTACATGTGGAAGGGCGATGAATGGTTAATTCTGCCTTGGGAGGAGAGAACAAGTCAGGTCATTGTAGGAAGAGTTGGACTAGATAAGTACAGACCCTTTCAAAGATGAAATGCTTACTTAAATAAAATAAGGTAATCATTTTTTTGACATAGAACATATTAATAGTTACCATCCTTCAGAACTTTTTTCAAGTACTTTCCTCAAAAGGCTGGTTTGTGAAGCATACAATAAGCATTCACTACAGGTCAGCTATTACTGTGGTAAGAATTAATGTCCACATTAGCTTTGTAGGTAACCGTGAAATTGTCTTCCTGGAATATATTTCAGACCCTAACCCAGAGGAGGGAGAGTGACATATTGAAACAAAAGGCCCTCCAAGTCCAATGGGGAGTCAGAGGCTGCAAGCATGCAGTGACTGCCCAACCCCAAACTAATTATTGGACAGGTAATCTTGGAATATAAAGAATCTTGGCCAAACTAATTATTGGACAGGTAATCTTGGAATATAAAGAATCTTGGCTTCTGGTCCTGATTCTGCTGCTAAATCTGAAGTGACTCTGGGTAAATCATTTTAACTTCAACTGTTAATCTCATTATTTTTACAGTGTGAGGATTAGAAGACCCTTTCAGTTATATGTAATTCTCTGGGTTCACTATCTGCATTGTTGAGTGAAAGAAGCAAGGTTCATAATTACCAGTTGTAAAAAAAAGAATATATACATAAATACATAGAATATTTCCAGAAGGATGCAGATGAAACGTAGCTGTGGTTGCCTCTAGGGAGGGGAACTAAGGATGACTTAGTTTTCACTGAATACTGTTTTGTATCTTTTGAACTTTGAACCATATTCTTGTATTACCTATCCAAAAATTACTTTTAAAAAATTCTCTGGTTTTATGAACCTGGAGCTAAAGGAAAAGTGGAGAGGGAAGAGGTTTCTTTTAGTAAAAAGTGGGTCAAATGGAGAACTGTAGACCCAGTAATTTCATTTGTTCTAAAAGTAGCAAGGAACCAGAGAGAGACCAACTGAAGCTGTGAGCCAGAAAGATGATTTTACTAAAGTTCAACCTGGATAAATTAGACAGATTTACACCACAGAAGCACTCACACATTGACATAGCTGGACCTATTAATAACAAAACACAAACCTTTTTCTTTGGTTGTGCTACTGCTCTTTCCAGAGCAGCTTTTAGCCTTTCCTCCTGGTGTTTTTGTTTTTCCTTAAGTTTCTCTTCACGCAATCTGTCAAGAGGGAAAAATATTCTTCTAACTATAAATTGCAGAAAGTAAAAAAAGACATCATTACTATTTGGTAATGAACTTTGTAAATTCTATAAGCTCGCCTTTAAGGTTAAATGAAAATGATACTTCATCTTCACCCATAACTATGGCTTCTGATATTCAGGTGAACTCTCAACAACAAATCCTGTTTGTGTTGAAATGGGAAGACATTGCATATCACCATTTTGGAAGACGTAAAATCTACCTAGATCTTGGTCAAAAATAAGCACCTCAGCAAAGCCTTCTCATCACTCTATTTACATTTCAGCACTTTACAGTTAATTTTTACAATGGCCAATTGGATTAACTTCCAGCTACCCGCCCCGCATTTAAACCTTTTTATTGGAATATAACTTATGTGCAGAAAAGTACACAGATCACAAGTGTATAGTTCAATGAATTATCATAAAAGTATTCTTTCTAGTTAATCTTTTTGAATAGTATCTTGAAATTAAGACCAAGGAATGCTATTTGTCTTGTTCTCTTTAGGGTTGTTGTGAAGATGAATGAGATGACCTGTGCAAACTGTGTAATCCAATGCCTGGTGCAGAATAGGCAGTCAATATGTGTTAGCTATTTTACGGACGTATATAAGTAACATTTACTAAACATTTTTTATGCAAAATTAGATATGATGTTAGCTACCTCCAAACCATGGGGAAAATCACTAACATTATTTTTGATAAGAATGATAAATCATTGGAATTAGATTTGTGTATCACTACTGAAAAGTCGTAATTATACTTTGAAGATAATATTTCCTACTGTAAAAAAGATGCAAGTGCTGTTAGTGTAATCAGTCATAGGTCATCTTATGAAAGGAGTAATCTTTCATTTATAATTTTTTTAAATTTGCTTTATATTCAATAAAATCTCAGCAGATGACCTTAATATATTCTGGACTTCCTTTTTATATGGGGGAAATAGTATCCCCCATATACCAGTAATGTAGTAAGCAATAACAAAATATCTAATGTTAATGGCTAATATTTGAGTTCTTACTATGTGCCAAGCACTTTAGTGCTCTTATATAGATCATTTAATTCTCACAACAACCCTATGAGATAATAAGTACCATTATTACTGCCATTTTACAAATAAAGAGACAGACTTAAAAGAGGTTATGCAGCCTGCCTGAGATCACAAAAGTTGTAAATGGTGGAACCTGGATTGAACCCAGACAGGTCGGCTCTCACGTCCCTGCTCGTGGCCATAGTATTAGTCTGCCTCTCAACGTGTTCTTTTGCTATAACATAAACGTTGTCCCACCTATAAGCATTCTCTATATGCCACATTATACTGGGAATCATATTATATTTATAACAATCATTGCCTCAAAAGTAGTACAGTCGTGCACTGCATAACAACATTTGGGTCAAAGACAGACTGTATATATAACGGTGGTCCCATAAGATTGGTACTATATAGCCTAGGTGTATAGTAGGCTATACCATCTAGGTTTGTGTAAGTACACTGTATGATGAAATCGCCTAATGATACATTTCTCAGAACATATCCCTGTCATTAAGCAACGCGTGACTGTATGGACATGAAATCCTTATTTAGCTCAGTATGGAAGTTTGTAAATCTGCATTTTTCTGAAAGGCCCCAAGCTAGGCAAGGATGTGGGGACGTGTGGGTGAAGGGTGGGGTGTTCCACGGGTGATAATACTGATGAGTCTAGAAAAATGAGTTAATGTATAAATGCTTGTATGTATGTGTTGGCAGTTACACAGTGAGGAAACCCCTCATTGCATGGGTCTAACTTTCAAACAATTTCTTTGTAAATTGAGTCTCCCTGTAGTTTTCCAAAGAAGACCTCCTAATTCTATGCCTTGGGCCTTTCACGAGTGCAGTTCTCCTTCCACGTGATAGCTTTCAAAAATTTTCATATAAGTAGTGAATATTCACCCTGAAAAGTGGCTTTTCCAGGCTAAGAAGACCCCTCACCCATTCCAAACTAGGTCATTTGCCCCTGTTGAACTCTGTTCACCTGGTTCCTTTCCTTCACAGTGCTTATTACCATTGGTAATGACATTTATTTTATAAAAATATTTGATGAATGTGTCTCCCACACTAAATAGCTCTAGAGGAGGGCAGGACTGGGTTTGGTTCCACTGTATCGCTGTTATGTTGATCCTTGCCATATAATAGAGACTTGCTCAATGTGGAATCCAAGCAAAAACAGCTACTCATCTCATTGTCATTCACTATACTTAAAAGACATTAATTGTACTTTTGCCGCCGTTCTTTCTGTTTTATCCTCTCAATTGCCTCCACATTTTCTTTGGGAATGGATTCAATGAGATCACTCAGTTCCACCAGGCGAGACTCTACTTTTACCAGTTTTTGAACTGGGTTGAGGCTGCCAACCTCCCCATCTCCAATGCAGACTTTGTATACTTGATTAATTTTTTTGCTGAGAGATTCTATCAGTTTTTCCTGAGATTGAGAAGAAAAGGAGAGCAGAAAACATAACATTTCATCACTTTTTGCTTATTCATTCAATAAATGTAAAATTCCATTTTACTGTATTATGATGAAAAGGCCTTTAAATGCTACTGAATGTTTACTTTTTAAAAATAACTTTAATACTATGTAGCATAGTGAGAAAATGCAACAGTGATATATCATTTATAGTCAAATTATTACTGTAGTAACACCTTGGATTATGTTCTTTTAAAATATTCCAGTCTAGGTATGAAAAGTAATTATAGTAAAAATATCTTTTAGCTTGAATTTTTTTTTGTATCTGATTCCCTGCACAGTCAAGTAGAGGCAACATAAACACTTTAAATCCTTTTTTGCCACTCCAGTACATTTCCTTGCAGCATAGCATGTGAGCTCCCTTTTTTGCACTTATTACTCTACTCGCTAAAATTATAATCATCCTTCATGAGTTATTTGCATACATGCCTTATGTCCCCTTCTAGACTGTAAGCATCTGGAAGGCAGGAGCTATTTCTTTTCTTGCTGGTGTTTTTTTTTTTTTTTTCTTTTTTTGAGGTAACATTGTTTTATAACATAAATTTCAGGTGTCTGTCACTATATTTCAACTTCTGTATAGACTATAGCGTGTTCACCACCAAGTCTAGTTGCCATCCATCACCGTACACATATGTCCTTCATCTCTTGCCCTCCCCCAGCCCCTTCCCCTCTGGTAACCACCAGTCTGTCCCAGGAGCTATTTCTTTTGTTTACCACTTAATATCTAGAGCAGCATCTTGTACATAACTATGGACTTAATAAATGTTTGCTGAATAAATGACTGAGTGTATTCTCTCAGAGGAACAGAAAAGTTACAAGCAAATGGATTCCGGGCCAGCCTACAAAAGCCTTTTGAGGGGCTTGCACTCTCTACTGGGAAGCCATTGCAGTATTCTAGTCTAAGCAGAGTCTGAGACCAAACCTTCTCATCCCTGTACCTGGCCACTGCTCCGTCTTAACTGTTGGTAGAGATGCTCGAGCTTGTAGGTAACGTGTTTTGGTACCTTAAGAATATTCTCATTCTCTGTCTCCTCTTTGTACCTGGCATTCGCAGTTAAGAGGATCTCAATAAACTGCTGGGCCAAGTAAGTCGGTCTCCGGGTAGCATGCTGCCCCCATGCCTGCTTCTGCTCAAGAAGATGAGAATCACCATAAAGCCAAAGACAAATAACATTCAAGACAGATGTAGGAGCCATGGGAAACCCTTCCTGGAATCAGATTCCTTACAGAGCCACCAACACTTAATTACAAGTCAAGATCTGTTACCAATAGTTCCAACAGCTTGTCTTTCCCACCTCCTAATTTAACTGCCTTTCTGATGATCCTGTTTACCATAAAGCCCCCCCCTTTTCCTCTCTAAAGTAACACTGTATTTCTTATTTATATTAAAACATATTCCTTTTAGAAAACTTGGAGTACAAAATAATATAAAAGGAAAAAGTAAAAAAACAAAAGTTCTTTTGCTACAAGCTTTTTTTCTCTTTCTAAATAACACTTATTGTATTTCCTATTTATGTTAACAATACATTCCTTTTAGAAAACTTTAGAAATGCAGAAAAATATAAGAGGAAAAAAAGTAAAAGTAATCCATCAAGGGGCTGAAATGTACATTGAATATGAAAAAGCAATGTTGCTGCAATGTGAGTCATATTTTTAAAAATATATTAAATACTGGTTCTGAGAAAAAGCAACTTTAATATGAGAATGGTTAGTAGTTGATGGAAATTTCTGGAGGAGACCTCTGGAACTCTTAGTTTTACAGGTGGTTGGGCAATGGCCTTTCAGATGTATTTTTCTTTTTTTCAAGATAGCGTTTTTTCTTTTTACGTTCCTGCTGTGAAACAGGAAGGGAAAAGACAAGGAAAGAGATTTTCTTAACAAGGTAAGAACGGCATAAGAAATAGGATTGGGGAATGAAGTTAAAGAAAATACTCATGTATGAAAAAGAGATTGAGGGCCTGGCCCAAGAGAGCAGAAGGGCCAGGAAAAAGGTGGCTCAAGGCACAAGCCTACTGATGACAGAGAAGCCAAGTGTGAGTCCAATCCCTGGAACTGCCACTAGGTGGCAGGCCCAGCGCAGATCTTAGAGAAGGGGCTACAAGGCTGCAAGGGATGGGAGGAGCTCCTGCTGCTTCACATTGTGGAAGACTGAAGGCTTGGATAAGAACTTCGGATGCCCTCCAACAGTGGATTGGAAATGATCTGACCAGAGCAAAGTTTAGGAGGAATAATTGTATCAAAACTGGATGGGGGAGGGAAGGGATGTCTAGATGTCATTTAAAGTCCTTTCCAACTCAAGGATTCTGTAATTCTAATCCATGTCACATTCTGCTGTGTGCTGACTATAAACAACTCTCCCCGATGAACTGGATCAGCTGCCTATTTGAAAGAACGGTAAGCCAGAGATGAATACATTCTGCAAATTGAACATGGAATAATATTCCATTTCATGTTCAATGAAAGTGAACAAACAACTGCCACACCAAACAACACGGATGAGTCTAACAAACATAATGTTGAGAGAAAGAAGCCAGATAAGCCAGACATACATGATTCCACTTACGTAAAGTTCAAAAACACGAAAGCTTATTGATGGTGAGAGAGATCAGGATAGTGGTCACCTTTTTTTTTTTTTTAATGAGTTAATGATAGGTTACAATCTTGTGAAATTTCAGTTGTACACTAATGTTTGTCATTCGTGTTGTAGGTGCACCATTTCACCCTTTGTGCCCACCCCCCACTCCACCTTTCCCCTAGTAGCCACTAATCTGTTCTCTTTGTCCACATTTTTAAATTCCTCATTATGAGTGGAGTCATACGGAGATTATCCTTCTCTAACTGGCTTATTTCACTTAACATAATTCCCTCAAGGTCCATCCATGTTATTGCAAATGGAATGATTTTGTTATGTTTTACAGCTGAGTGGTATTCCATTGTATATATATATAGCACATCTTTATCCATTCATCTGTTGATGGGCACTTAGGTTGCTTCCATGTCTTGGCTATTGTAAATAATGCTGCAGTGAACATTGGGGTGCATAGGACTTTTGGAATTGCTGACTTCAAGCTCTTTGGATAGGTACCCAGTAGTGGAATGGCTGGATCATATGGTAGTTCTATTTTTAATTTTTTGAGGAATCTCCATACTGTTTTCCGAAGTGCCTGCATCAGTTTGCATTCCCACCCGCAGTGTATGAGGGTTCCTTTTTCTCCACAACCTCTCCAACATTTGTTACTGTTAGTTTTAGATATTTTTGTCATTCTAATGGGTGTAAGGTGATATCTTGGTGTAGTTTTGATTTGCATTTCCCTGATTATCAGCGATGATGAGCATCTTTTCATGTGCCTATTGGACATCCATGTATCTTCTTTGGAGAAATGTCTCTTTATGTCTCCAGCCCATTTTTTGATCGGGTGGTTTGATTTTTTGTTGTTGAGTTGTGAGAGTTCTTTATATGTTATGGATATTAAGCCTTTGTCAGATATATGACTTGCAAATATTTTTTCCCAGTTAGTGGGTTGTGTTTTTGTTTCAATCCTGTTTTCATTTGTCTTGAAGAAGCTCTTTAGTCTGATGAAGTCCCATTTGTTTATTCTTTCTATTGTTTCCCTTCTCTGAGAAGACATGGTGTCCAAAAAGATCCTTTTAATACTGATGTCAAAGAGTGTACTGCCTACGTTTTCTTCTAGAAGACTTATGGTTTCAGGTCTCACCTTTAGGTCTTTGATCCATTTTGAGTTTATTTTGGTGAATGGTGAAAAAGAATGGTCAATGTTCATTCTTTTACATATGGCTTTCCAGTTTTCCCAGCACCATTTGTTGAAAAGACTTTCTTTTCTCCATCGTAGGCCCTCAGCTCCTTTGTCGAAGATAAGCTGTCCATAGATGTGTGGTTTTATTTCTGGGCTTTCAATCCTGTTCCATTGATCTGTGCACCTGTTTTTGTACCGGTCCCATGCTGTTTTGATTACTGTAGCTTTGTAGTATATTTTGAAGTCAGGGATTGTGATGCCTCCCGTTTTGTTCTTTTTTCTCAGGATTGCTTTAGAAATTCGGGGTCTTTTGTTGCCCCATATGAATTTTAGGATTCTTTGTTCTAATTCTGTAAAGAATGTCATTGGGATTCTGATTGGGATAGCATTGAATCTGTAGATTGCTTTGGTAGTATGGACATTTTAACTATGTTTATTCTTCCAATCCATGTACATGGAATGTCTTTCCATCTCATGTCATTGTCCAATTCTCTCAGAAAGGCCTTGTAATTTTCATTATATAGGTCCTTCACTTCCTTAGTTAAATTTACCCCGAGGTATTTTATTCTTTTTGTTGCAATTATGAATGGTATTGTGTTCTTGAGTTCTTTTTCTGTTAGTTCGTTATTAGAATATAGAAATGCTACTGATTTACACAAATTGATTTTATACCCTACAACTTTGCTGTAGTTGTTGATTACTTCTAAGAGTTTTCCAATGGATTCTTTGGGGTTTTCTATATATAAGATCATGTCATCTGCAAACAGCGAGAGTTTCACTTCTTCCCTCCCTATTTGGATTCCTTTTATTCCTTTTTCTTGCCAGATTGCTCTGGCCAGGACCTCCAGTACTATGTTAAATAAGAGTCGTGATAGAGGGCATCCTTGTCTCGTTCCTGTTTTCAGGGGGATGGCGCTCAGTTTTTGCCCATTGAGTATGATGTTGGCTGTGGGTTTGTCATATATGGCCTTTATTATGTTGAGGTAGTTCCCTTCTGTGCCCATTTTGTTCAGAGTTTTTATCATAAATGGCTGTTGGATCTTGTCAAATGCCTTCTCTGCATCTATTGAGATGATCATGTGGTTTTTATTCCTCAGTTTGTTGATGTGGTGTATCACGTTGATTGATTTGCGGATGTTGAACCATCCCTGTGTCCCTGGTATGAATCCCACCTGATCAGGATGTATGATCCTTTTGATGAATTGCTGAATTCTGGTTGCCAAAATTTTGTTTAGAATTTTTGCATCTATGTTCATCAGTGATATTGGCCTGTAGTTCTCTTTTTTCGTGGTGTCCTTGTCTGGTTTGGTATCAGTGTGATGTTGGCCTCATAGAATGTGTTAGGAAGTGTTCCATCCTCCTTAGTTTTTTGGAATAGCTTGAAAAGGATAGGTATTAAATCCTCTCTGAAAGTTTGGTAGAATTCCCCAGGAAAGCCATCTGGTCCTGGGGTTTTATTCTTTGGGATGTTTTTGATTGCTGTTTCAATCTCTTTCCTTGTGATTGGTCTGTTCAAATTGTCTGCTTCTTCTTGAGTGAGCTTTGGGAGATTGTAGGAGTCCAAGAATTTATCCATTTCCTCTAGGTTATCCATTTTGTTGGCATATAGTTTTTCGTAGTATTCTCTTATAATCTGTTGTATTTCTGCAGAGTCTGTTATTTCTCCTCTTTCATTTCTGATTTTGTTTATTTGAGCTTTCTCCCTTTTTTTCTTTGTAAGTCTGGCTAAGGGTTTTTCAATTTTATTTATCTTCTCAAAGAACCAGCTCTTTGTTTCATTGATCCTTTTTACTGCCTTTTTCGTTTCAATAGTATTTATTTCTGCTCTGATTTTTATTATTTCTCTCCTTCTGCTGACTTTGAGCTTTATTTGTTCTTTCTCTAGTTTAGTTAGGTGTAGTTTAAGATTGCTTATTTGGGATTTTTCTTGTTTGTTAAGATGTGCCTGTATTGCGATGAATTTTCCTCTTAATACAGCTTTTGCTGTATCCCATATGAGTTGGTATGGCATGTTATGATTTTCATTTGTTTCCAGGTCTTTTTTGATTTCTTCTTTAATTTCTTCAATGATCCATTGCCTGTTCAGCAGTGTATTGTTTAGTCTCCACATCTTTGTGCCTTTCTCAGCTTTTTTCTTGTAATTAATTTCTAGCCTTATAGCATTATGATCGGAGAAGATGCTTGTTATTATTTCAATTTTTTTAAATTTGTAGAGGCTTGGCTTGTTTCCCAACATATGGTCTATCCTTGAGAATGTTCCATGTGCACTTGAGAAGAAGGTGTATTCTGCTGTTTTAGGATGAAGTGATCTATATATGTCTATTAAGTCCAATTGTTTTAGTTTTTCGTTTCGCTCCACTATTTCCTTGTTGACTTTCTGTCTGGATGATCTGTCCATTGATGTGAGTGGGGTTTTGAGGTCCCCTACTATTATTGTGTTGTTTTTAACATCTTCCTTTAGGTCTGTTAATAGTTGCTTTATGAACCTTGGTGCTCCTATGTTGGGTGCATAGATATTTATAAGCATTATTTCTTCTTGATGAAGTGTACCTTTGATCATTATATATTGTCCCTCTGTGTTTCTCTTTACCTGCCTTATTTTGAAATCCATTTTGTCTGATATAAGAATTGCGACACCTGGTTTTTTTTTGCTTGCTATTAGCTTGAAGTATTGTCCTCCACCCCTTCACTCTGAGCCTGTGTTTGTCCTTGGGGCTGAGGTGTGTTTCCTGGAGGCAACAAATTGTTGGATCTTGTTCTTTAATCCATTTTGCCACTCTGTGTCTTTTTATTGGAGAGTTCAATCCGTTTACATTGAGAGTGATTATTGATGCATGTGGACTTAATGCTTTTAATCTGTTGCTCATTGTCTGGTTTTCCTGCATTTCTCTTCCTGTGTGCTTTAGCCTACCCATTTAATACTGCAATTTCTTATGCTGGGTTTCTTAGATTTTTCTTTATTTTTGTTTTGTGGCTCTGTTCTGTTTTTTAGTTTAGTGGCTACCCTGCAGTTTGTATTTAGAATCTCATGTATAATATAGTCTATTCTCTGGTGGTCTCTTACTTACTTGGCCTAGACTGATTTAGTCCCTTGGCTCTTCTCCTCCTAAATTATTATTTTCATTTCTTATTCCTACTCGTGGTTATGAGTTTGTAGTTAGAGTGATAAGATCATCTTTGCTTTGGCAGTTTCCTTACCTTTATCCTAATGCTATAGTTGAATATTTGCGATCCTATTCTGGTTCTATCTATCTGTCTCCCTACTCTGTGGTTTGTGACCCTTTTCTCCGTTTTTTCTTTTTTCAGGTATGAGAGCCTTCTTGAGGATTTCTTGTAGTGGAGGACTTTTGGTTACAAAATCCCTTAACTTTCGTTTGTCTGGAAAAGATTTAATTTCTCCCTCATATTTGAAGAATATTCTTGCTGGATAGAGTATTCTTGGCTGAAGATTTTTATCTTTTAAAGTTTTGAATATGTCACTCCATTCTCTCCTAGCTTGTAAGGTTTCTGTAGAGAAATCCACTGAAAGTCTGATAGGAGTTCCTTTGTAGGTTATTTTCTTCTGTCTTGCTGCCCTGAGTATTCTTTCTTTGTCTTTCATTTTTGCCATTTTTACTACTGTGTGCCTTGCAGTAGGTCTTTTTACATTGACAAATCTAGGAGATCTGAAAGCTTCCTCTACACACATTTCTCCCTCAATCCCTGGATTTGGGAAGTTCTCTTCTATAATTTCATTAAGCACACTTTCTGCTCCATTTTCCTTTTCCACGTTCTCGGAAATTCCTATGATCCTTAAATTCTTTCTCCTCATTGAATCCGCTATCTCTTGGAGGTTTTCCTCATTTTTAAAAATTCTTAGTTCTCTTTCTTCCTCTGTCTGGAGCCATTCAGCCTGTCTATCTTCGATTATGCTAATTTGCTCCTCTATAGTGTCTATACGGGCATTCAGGGAATCTGTATTCTGTTTTATCTGGTCCATTATGTTTTTCATCTCTAGTAATTCTGTTTGATTCTTTATAATTTCAATCTCTTCTGTGAAGTAACTCCAGAACTTGTTGGCTTGTTTCTCTATCTTTCTCTCTACCTCATTGAGTTTTTTGATGATAGCTACTCTGAACTCATTTTCACTTAGTTTACTTATTTCCAAGTCCTCAGGACTTAATTCTGTGTTTTTATTGTTTTCCTTCTGGTGTGGAGCTTTTATAAATTGCTGGATGGTAGAGGAGCAGTTTTTTCACATGATGGTAGAATTCGGTTGCAGTTACAGCCTGTCGCCACTAGAAGGAGGTCGAGAGCTACACGTTCTGAGCCCTCCACCTTCGGGGAAGATGGCGGTGCCCAGCACGGTTTGCTGGGGTGAGGAGGGATGGTTTCTCTCGTGCGCCAATCTGGATTCAGATCAGCTCTGTTCTCTGGACTCCTGGGGCCCTGGCTTTATGGGGTCCCCGCACACAGAAGCTTTCCCCCGTCAGCGGGTTTCCACTGTACCGGCAGCGGGAGTCCTCGACGATCCCCCAGTCGTGCAGCCCCTCCCCTGCTCCTTCCCACACCTGCGGCAGTGATCCCATTCTCTAGGGGAGGGAGCAAAGTTCTCTCCTACCCCGTTCCAGCTCCTCCAAGGCCTGCTGCAGCGACTCTGTCCTCCATCTTTTTGGTGCTGTAGGTCTCTTACGGTCTGGCATTAGGTTTATTAGCTGAAATTCAGTTTTTTTCCAATCCTTTGTTGTAGTTTGGAGGGGAGAGAGTCCCGGGTCAGCTCACCCTGCCATTTTGCTCTGCCTACCTTGAACCAGGATAGTGGTCACCTTTGAGGGGTGGTAATGACTGGAAGGGAGCATGGAGGAAGCTTCTGGGGTGCTGATAATGGTCTATTCCCTGATCTGGAGGGTGGTACATGGGTGCATGTTCACTTGAGGAAATTCCTTGAGATAGGTGTTAGATTTGCACTATTCAATATTACATTATGGTACTTGAATTTAAAATTTTAAAGGGGGCTGGCCCCGTGGCCGAGTGGTTAAGTTCGCGCACTCTGCTGCAGGCAGCCCAGCGTTTCGTTGGTTCGAATCCTGGGTGCGGACATGGCACTGCTCATCAAACCACGCTGAGGCAGCGTCCCACATGCCACAACTAGAAGGACCCACAACGAAGAATATACAACTATGTACCGGGGGGCTTTGGGGAGAAAAAGAAAAAAAATAAAATCTTTAAAAAAAAAAAAAAGTATAATATTGAGTCAGTGATAAATGTTTTTAGGGGATTAAGTACAGTTAGAAGTGTGGAAGTTTTGAAAGAATAAAATACTTATAGATAGCTCCAAAGTATGATAATTTATGAATATCAAAATAAGGTGCATCTATATTTACTCAAAAGGGATTATATTTTACACATTTTGAGATCTGAAAGAATGAGAGTGGAGAAGCAGGAAAATTCTAAGTAAAGAATACTTTTCCTCTGCCAGTTTTACTTCTCTGCCTCTCCTCCACCCCAGCATTTCGCATCTCTGAGAGATGCTACAAATTATTAGCCCCATTTTCCCAGAGTGTGCAGCATATGAATTTTGTGACTAAAATTTCAGTCTTTTAAAAACTAATTTTCAGATCAATTGTTACCTTCTCTGCTTAGGGATCTGATTGCCTCTAAGTTTAAGAGTATTGAAAAACACCACTTTTTTTCATAGCCACCCTAAATTTGGATGAAAAGGGCTTGGGATGGGGGGTGGATATCACCGATATTTATCTGACATTTTTCATGTCAATTAGTTTGAGATTTAAAACAGAACTGAAGGGTGAAAACAACCCAAGTGTTCATAAACAGATGAATAGATAGATAAAATATGGTATATAAGTACATAGAATATTATTGAGCCATAAAAGAAGTTAAATTCTGATATGTGCTATAACATGGGTAGAAACATGCTAAGTGAAATAAGCCAGACACAAAAGGACTATTATATGATTCCGTTTATATGAGGTACCTAAAATAGGTAAGTCTCTTTTTATTTAGAGACGGAAAGTAGAATAGAGGTTATCAGAAGTTGGGAAGATAGGGGAATGGAAAATTATTGTTTAGTGGACACAGTTTCTATTTGGGATGATGAAAAACTATAAATAGTGATGATGATTACACAATATTGCAAATATACTTAATGCCACTGAATCGTACACTTAAAATGGTTAAATGGTGAATTTTATGTATATTTTACCACAAAAAAGTAAACAAAAATCAGCACTGAAGAGCTGAAAGATGACTCTCATCACACTGCTTCCTCTAGCAGTGCATGACCCCATCCCCTCCTGACTTAGGGTGCTCTCCCACCCTAGGAAATGTCTGTGTGAAGGAGCCATACATAGTTGGGCTTTTTGTAACCCTGGTAGGGGAGGACAATCATCTGATAGAGTTCTCCCAAATCTACCTCTGTTTGAAAATCAAGTTCATAATCATAAATGTGATTATTAATCTCACATATGAGCTTTGAATTTTTATTTCATTTGAGATTTTTATAGGGAAACCAGTGTTAGCTGGAGTTTGTTGTGGGTCTAGAAACTAACCTTTCTAACTGAACATTCATTCAACAAACATTTATTGAGCACTTACTTTATAGGGACAGTAAACTTAGCTAATTAGGAAGGGTAGGACAGTCCCTGCCCTTGAGGGGTTTGCATCCAGCTGAGAGAGACAAACGTATAAACAAATAAGTACACTAGTGTGTGTCACAGGTGATTTGATGCTGGATCTATCTGTGCAGGCCCAACAAGACCAAAATCTAGTACAAGCTCAGTCTCGGCAGATATTCCATTCAGTGTTGATTCAGTTTCCTCTGTATTATTTGCTCTTCAAATTATTACCAAAATGATCACCAGCATTGAACTACTTGGTATGTATACACTCTGACTAAAAGAAGTGTATTTATAGGGGGGAAATCTAAACATCATACTTTCTAATAATTAGAGCAGTATTCTAGGAGAACCCCAAGGCCAATTCAATGCTTTCTATCTACTATGTAAATTGACTATTATATACTGACAAGATAATTCCAAGCTGATTTTCTGCCTCTATCATCAACCCAGGACTTGTGGTTTGCTTTAATTCCCCCATTCCAATGCTTAGTACACAGGGAATGCAAATTATTATTATTATGAGCCAAAATAAAATTACCATAGGCAAAGAATGATTACCTGGGCATCTGAATTAAATTGTCCAAAACTAAATAGCCTGGACCTTAATTCCAGTTCTGCTGCTTTTTCCTCTTCTCTCACACAGTTAGCTTGAAGCATTTTCTTGTGCTTCAAAAGAAACTCTATGTTGTTATTTCTATTGCAAAAGAAGAAAGAAAGCTTTGTCTGTAATTTATGGTTTAGTGAAATAAACTATCAGTCAGGAGCTTCAGCACTCTTCCAGATCATGTGTCAACATCCTATGTCTAACAAGCCAAATATGAATTTCTATTTTAAGACGTTGCTAAAGTACATGCAACTTTTCAAGTTAAAATGAGAAAAATAAATGCACAGACGCTGCCTTTAACTTCCATCAGGAAGCATTTTCTTCCCGTCCCCTACTTTTGTGGTTCCGTGGAGTCCCCCAAATAGAAAGCAGCAGAGCTGAGTTGTCAGGAACCCAAGTTGTGGTGTGACCTATTATGTCAGTGTTCTCAAACCTGGCTGATAATCAGAATATCTGGGGAGCTAAGGGGAAAACAGAGACTCCTGACTACCTCACCTAGAGATTCTGGTATAGATCTAGAGACAGAATCTGACATCAATCACTTTTTCTTGCCTATCCATACCCACCTTGCCCCCCAAAATCATATTGTCAGGAGTAGGGGCACCATATGCTGTGAGGATTGGGAGAAAGGAGACAAGGATTAAAAGGATCCAGTAGCCATAATGGGTGGCTGTGAGATTATGATTTTTAAGTTCTTAACTTCTGAACCAGTTAATTTGTTCTGAAGTTCAATGTAGTTTGACCTACTGTTTAAGACGGCCATCTTCTGGCCCAGAAAACTGTTCTGAAAAAGGTTCTACACACTTTTATAATGGGTAGATACAAAGATCTATTATCTATGACTCAAAGCTATTTTCCAAAATTGTAATGTAAAATTTGAGAGTAGGAACGAATTTTGTGAGTCATCAAGTCCAGCCTCCTTGCCCTGACAGAAATCCATTTTTATAATAACCCCAATATATCAATATGTACATTATAAAATGATATTTAAGTCACCAAAAAACTGTTTTGCTGAAAGTCACAGCCAAGGAAAATGCATTTATTAGTATTATCATCCAAAGCATGATTTGATTAGCCACATGATAGGGTGGAAACTGCATTGAACAAAAATTAAGGCAGTAGGTGACATTTTACTTCAAATCTTTTAAACTTTTATTATTGCTATCTAGGACTATTTTGACAGGTAAAAGGAAGTAGAGATTAAAACTAAAGCCAGTTGATTCTGTGTAAATATAACATCTACCTTTTATACTCTGCAGTGTAGACTATTAATAAAAATCCCACCCTAAATCCAGAGAGACCATGAAGAAGGGCAACACATGAGTGAGTTGAACTCTGTCCCTAGTTAGAAATTGCTTAATAGAATAAATCTACTTGTTTTTAATGACTTACATTTTATCCTGTATAAATTTTTCTCTTTTATTTACATCTTCAAGATTTTCATCTACATCTTGGGAATATTGTACCAAAGTAAGATTCTGCTCTTCCAGCTCTGTGAAGACTTGAAGTAACTCTTCTGGTTCTTTGAAATAAAGCTCTGGCTCCTAATCAATCAGTAATGAAGATAGCATTCACTTAAAAATATGCTACCTATGCACATATGACTTATCTAGAAAAATACTGTGGGGTAAAGGAATACCATTCTGATTATGAGGGAGAAATGGATAGAGAATGGCAAAGGAGCCTATTTCCACATGAGAGCTGGCCCTCAGGAAGAGGACATTTTGGGTGTTGGGGGGAGATGAAAGGTATTAGAGAAGGGAAAAAGGAAAAAGAGAAGAAGGGATGGAGCAGAAGAGGAGGCAAAGGCAGGAAAAGGGAAAGTGGGTCTAGGGAAAGGCAAGGAAGAAGGAATACAAGAAAGAAAGACAGGAGGCTAAGTGACGGTCATTTTCTCCCCACATTTTAATTATTTTAAGTTTTTCAAAATTTTAAGAGTAAGTAGATATTACTTTAAGTAAATTTAATTTTTAAAAAGATGATTTTGGTATTTGCACACCCATGGTCATCATATTTGCTATAGCTAAGAGGTAGAAGCAACCTAAATGTCCATTGATGGATGAATAAATTAAGAAAATGTGGTATATCCATACAATGGAATATCATTTAGCCTTTAAAAAGAAGGAAATTGTGTCACATGATAGACATGGATGAACCTGGAGGACATTAGGCTAAGTGAAATAAGCCAGTCACAACAAGACAAATACTGCGTGATTCCACTTTATGAGGCATCTAAAGAAATCGAACTCCTAGAAACAGAAAGTAGAACAGTGGTTGTCAGGGGCTAGAAGGGGGGGGAGGGGGGGTAGGGGAATTGTTCAGTGGGTTTCAGTTTTGCAAGACAGAAAAGTTCTGGAGATCAGTTACACAACAGCGTGCCTATAATTAACACTATGGTACACTTAAAACTGGTCAAGATAGTAAATTTTATGTTTTTTACTCCAATTAAAAAAAAGATGATGAGTAAAGTGTGTTATATATCATAATAGATGGTGTTTGTAAGTGTTTTTTTGTTCCTTTTGAGTTTGTGGTTGCATATAGGGTGTGGTTCACTCAAAGTCAGACTTGTCGCAATAAATGGCTGTTTTGTTGACTGTCACTTTATCTTACAGTTTAGCTACCCGGTATAGCTCAAGCCCCAGTAAAATGATAAGCAATCAGAAAGTGGCTATTTTTACAGGAAGACTGTAGATAATATATATATCTCCTAAATTATTACCTTCTTACAGACACTTATTTTTCATAAAAAGTCTGATGACAAAAATGAACTATATATACAACTGGGGAACAGTATCAAGATCATATTTCCTTCTGGAAACTTGTGGAATATTTGGAATAGGAAATTTTAATTTCAGAAGATTAAATGAGCATCTGTACTTTTCACTGATTACAATTTTTATATTACGAAATATAATCTGGTTACCAGGTCATAGTCTATATCATCATCTAAAAAGAATTCCAAACTGTCTTCTGAACTGATACTTTCAGCTTGGCTGTAAAAGAAAAAGGAAAAAACAGATTTTCTTTCATTTCTAAATTTCTTTGGAACCTAACTTGTAACATAGTTCTTTTCAATAGCCCCTTTAGCCTTTTAGGGAACTGTTGGTTGCAAAAATCAGTGGATTCCACGAGTGTGCAAAAGAAAATCAGATTCAGTCCCAGACAAGGGTGACATACAAACAATGAGATCACAAGGAAGGGCAATACCATACAGTGCCAATTATTTGGTGTATCTATAAAGTAAGGTAATTTTTTTTTTAAGAAACACATGAGAAGCTACATTGGCACATCTGTTTTGTCCCTTTTAATGCAATCTTCTTAAGAAACTAAACGTGCTCTAGTGCTCAAAACAAAGCTTGTACCCTGAGTAATACAATATTTGTCTTTTTAAGAGCAGATTTTACTTTTTAAAATATCTTCCAGCCAGGTTGAGGAAATGTAGATTGAGGGGCTGGGCAATGAGGTACATCCTTAAAGAATAATTATGTGGCTTGGAGAGTGTCACTGGAAAAATGCTTTAAGAAGGATACATTGAAAATGATTGGAATATTAAGGAGGCAGGAACTAGGGAGATAGTAAGGCAGCTGTCGGTGTAATCTAGGTAATTAACACTTTCAAGTAGAGGGTAGTGATGATGGGAAAAGTGAGTAAATGGGCGAGAGGAGGGAGAGAATCTAGAGATATATGAAAGAATGAAATCATGGGAACCAAAAATAGAAAGAGCCACTTGGGCCAGAAGAGAAGAGACAAAGATGACTCCAAGATTTGCAGTCTGTGAGCCTGGAATAATGGAGGTGGGACTAACAGGAAGAAAAATGGTTTGAGGATGGGATAAGAAGATTAATATTTGCTCATGTTGAGTTTGAGAGGACAAAACACCTACCTGGAGCTAGCCTTTAAGCAATGAGAAATAAGACATACGAAAACAGGGCCAGAGAAGTAAAGAAATATTTGGGGAACATCCCCCGAGAAAGCGTTGATACTACTGTCCACCCGACTCTTCTCTTGGATTCAGTGATAGAATTTTCTAATCAATCTTATCTCACCTCTCTGAAACTTTTGTTACCTTTTTGGATTCCTTTTTTACATAAATGTCTTTGGTTCCTCAGCCTTCTTCCCGTCTCATTCTACCCTTTCCTAGGGGGTGACCTCATCCCTTCTCATGGATTCAACCACTGCTAATATACTGGTGACTCCCACGTCTCTCTCTTTTTCTTGAGCTCTAGACTTCAACGTCAAATTCCAACTGGACATCAGGGTCCACTTGGCTGTCCCATAGGGAGCTAAAATTAACACATTCAAAACCATACTCCCTATCTTCCTCTTCAGGCCTGCTCCCCTTACTGCGTTCCCAGTATCATTGAATGGCAACGCCGTACCCCGTGCTAGAAATTTGGGAGTTATCTTTGACCACACTCTTCCTCACACTACCCCCAACCTTTATGCGAGCCTTTAAGAGCCTGTCAATGCCACTTCCCTGATGTGTCTCACAGCCTTTCCTTCTTCATTTCCACTGCCTCTATCTGGCTGAGACAGTTCATTATCTCTCACCTAAATTGTGACAACAGGCTCCTAACTAGCTCCTCTACCTCTAGTTTTGTCCCTCTCCTTTCATTCTCCAAAATACTACCAAATCCAATTTTCTAAAATGCAAGTTTAATTGGTTCTCTGTCATTTTTGTGCTTAAAACCCTCAGTGGCTCCCCAGGGCCCTAGAGACAAAGCACGGACTCCTTAGCATGACATCACCACTTACCTGCTCATCCCGCAATACCTATTTACTCCTTGAACGTCTCCCACTTTCACTCTGCAGCCCAGCCATTCTGAACAGAGCCACACTTTGCCACCTCTGTGCCAGAAGGCCCCTCCCTCTTCCAGAGCTTGTCCTCATGGACTCTTCCTCCTCTCACCAGACTCAGCTTAGATGCCACTTGCTCTGAAGAGGGTTTGCTGATCCAGTCCTTGCTCTCTCACTCCCTCACTTCTCATTAGGGTTAAGGGTCCTTCCTTTGCATGCCTGTGGCACTCTGAGCTTATCCTTCCAATGGCATTATCATATTATATTGTAACTGACTAATCCCTTGTCTGTCTTCCTCACTAGATGGTAGGCTCCTTGAGGGCAGAGACTGTCTTATTTATTGTCGGGCCTACAAGGCACTCAAATATTTATTGAGTGAACGAAAGAAACTATGAGAGTGCAGAACTTTCTGAGGGAGTGAATGTGATGTTTGCATATTACTGTGTGCATCAATAAATGCAGAAAAAGCATTTGGCAAAATTCACCACTCATTTATGATAAAAACTCATAAAAATTGGAATAGAGAGGATTTCCTCAACTTTATGATAGAGTATCTACAACTACAAAAATCCTGCAGCTAACATTTTACCTAATGGTGAAAACTTGAATCCTCTTAACACTGGGAACAAGGCAAGGATGTCTGCTCCCACTACTCTTATTCAACATAAGAAGTTCTACCCACTGCAATAAAGCAAGAAAAGGGAATGAAAGGCATACAGATCATAAAGGAAGAAATAAAACTATCCCTGTTTGCAGATGGCTTGATAATCTAGATAGAAAATCCAAAGGAATCTAAAAAACCACCAAAAGAACAAAAACAAAATTCCTGGAACTCATAAGTGAATTCAGCAAGGTCAGAATATACAGGATAAAAATACAACAATCAGTTGTATTTCTGTATACTAGCAATGAACACAAGGACACTGAAATTAAAAATACAATGCCATTTACAATTGCTCAAAAAGAAAAAAGTAGAAAAGAAATACTTAGGTATAAATCTAACAAAACATGTACAGGACATGTACACTGAAAACTATGTAAGGCTGATAAAAGAAATCCGAAAAGATCTAAATAAATGGAAAGACATACTATGTTCATGGTGTGGAAGAATTAATTTAGGAAAGATGTCAGTTCTCCCTGGATTGATATACAGATTTGTATTAGTTTCCTAGGGCTGCTGTAACAAAGTACCACAAACAGAGTCGCTTAAAACAACAATTTATTCTCTCATGGTTCTGGAGGCTAGAAGTCCAAAATCAAGGTGTCAACAGGGCCATGCTCTCTCTGAAGGCTCCAGGGAAGAATCTGTCTTATGCCTTTCTCTTAGCTCTTGTGTTGTCAGCCATCCTTGGAATTCCTTGGCTTGTAGGTGCATCCCTCCAATCTTTGCTTCTGTTGGCACATGGCATTCCCCCTGCATCTCTGTGTCTCTTCTTATAAGGACACCAGTCATATTGGATTAAGGGCCCACCTTAATGACCTCTTCTTAACTTGATTATATCTACAAAGATCCTATTTCCAAATGAGGTCACATTCATAGATATCATGGGTTAGGACATTAACATATCTTTTTGGAGACATACTTAAACCCATAACAAGGTTTAACACAATTCCTATAAAAATTCAAGTTTTTTTGTAGATATAGACAAGATTATTCTAAAATTTATATGGAAAGACAAAGGAACTAGAATAGTTAACATAATTTTGAAAAAGAGAAATAAAGTGTGAAGAATCAGTCTACCTGATTTCAAGACTAATAGCTGCAGTAATCAAGACCATGTGGTATTGGTGGAGGGAAGCCCACACAGATCAAGGGGACAGAATAGAGAATCCAGAAATAGACCTGAACAAATATGCCTAACTGATTTTTGACACAAGTGAAAAAGCAATTCAGTGCAGAAGCCATTTCAACAAACGGTGCTAGAGCAATTGACATCCATAGGCAAAAAACAAAAGAGAACCTCAGTCTCAACATCACACCACACCTTATACAAAAATTAATCTAAAATGAATCACAGACTTAGATAGAAAACTACTTTTAGGAGAAAATATGAAAAAAAATTGGGGGGATCTAGAACTAGGCAAAGAGTTTTAGATTTGACATAAAAACATGATCCATAAAAGAAAAAATTGATAAATTGGACTTCATCAAAATTTAAAACTTTTACTCTACAAAAGATCCTGTTAAGAGGATGAAAGGACAATCCACAGACTGGGAGAAAACATTTACAAACCACATATCCACAAAGGACTAGTATCTAAAGACATAAAGAATTCTCAAAATTCAACAGTAAAAAACAAAGACAAAAATAGACAATCCAGTTAGAAAATGAGCAAAAGATGGGAATAGACATTTCATCAGAGAGGATATAAAGATGTAAACAAGCACGTGAAAAGATGTTCCACACCATTAGCTACTAGGGAAATGCAAATTAAAAGCACAATAAGGTATACACATCCATCAGATTAGCTAAAATTAAAAATAACAGTCAAAGTACCAAATGCAGGTGAGGATTTAAAGAAACCAGATCCCTAATATATTGCTGGTGGGAATGTAAAATGGTACAGCCACTCTGGGAAACAACGTGGCAGTTTTTTAAAAAGCTAAACATGCATCTACCATTCAACTCAGCAATTGGACTCTAGGCATTTATCCCAGAGAAATGAAAACTATTAACACAAAAAGTTGTACAAATATATTTATGGCAATTTTATTCATTATAGCCCCATATGGGACACAATCCAGATATTCTTCAATGAGTGAATAGTTAAATTGTAGTGTGTCCATAGCATAGAATACTACTCAGCAGTAAAAAAGGAACCAACAGCTTGGATGAATCTTAAGAGAATTATGCTTAGTAAAACATCCAATCCCAAAAGCTTACAAAGCTTACATACTTTATGATTCCATTTATATAACATTCTTGAAATGACAAAAACCATAGAAGTGGAGAACGGATTAGTGGTTTCCAGGGGTTAAGGGGAGGTAGAAAGAGGGAAGTGGATGTGACTATAAAGGGGCAAATGAAGAATCCTTGTGGTGATGTTCCGTATTTCACTGTATTTTGACTGTATCAATGTCAATATCCTGGTTGTGATATTGTATTACAATTTTGCAGGATGTTACCACTGGGGAAAAGTGAGTAAAGGATACATGGGATCTCTCTGTATTATTTCTTACAAGTGCATGTGAATCTACAATTTCTCAAAATAAAATATAATTATAAACAAAACAAAACGGTGGCTGCTAAATGCCACAGAAGTGGAGCAACCCCACAGCCCCTGGAATTCAGAGCAGAGTGTCTATGTTGACTTTTGTCATGTGTGATTGTCATGGATAATATGGTGCTGGCCCAGATCCTTTCCTCAGGGCCTGTGTAACCAACCAGGGCATCGATATATTTTTTTAAAGTTTCCTTGGGGTAGCCAGGATTGAGAACTAACAAATTTATGCAATATTGAGTACAAATGAGTCAGCAATCAAGTAAGGAAAGAAACAAACAAACAAAAATGCTTTATCGCCTTTGCAGCAATTTTGAATGACGTGGTGAAATTACAAACACACAGGCCAGTAGAGTAGCTTAATAAACAAACACTTGGGCAGTGGATTCTGAGAGGCAAAGACCCAAGGGGCAGGGGGCAGGCAGTTTCTGCAAATAGCACTTGCAGGCACTCATCAAAGAAGGCAGGGAGACCTAAGAGAGCCTGAGTGCCTCAGGAGCATACAGAGAACAGCGACCACTGCCTCCAGTATCTATTACAATGGATGTGGATACGAGGTGTGTATGTGGAAGAAAGGCTAAAAGAGATTTGCCAAAAAACATTCACAGTTTCCAAGAGAGTTAATCAAGTGTGTACTGTACTTTGATAAGGATGATTTCTTGTTCTCTAGGATGAGAGTGGACTTCTTGTGTGGTTTTCCTGTTCAAAATGTCCAGGCGAAGTCCGTGTCATTGGTGATGGTAGAGGTGAAAAGAAATAACATGTAAATTAGAAATGAGTCCTTGTTCCTTGGTGCAAGATATTTGTTTTTCTACATGGCTATGTCCATTACTTTATTATTATTATTATTATCATCAGAATGATAATCATATAAAAATGTAGCTCTCTTATTCTACTGAAATTGGGTTCCAAGTTTAAGAATAAAATCAAAAGCATTGGTTTGCAGGGCTGGCCCGGTGGCACAGCAGTTAAGTTCACACGTTCTGCTTCGGCGGCCTAGAGTTTGCCAGTTCACATCCCCGGTGCGGACCTATGCATCGCTTATCAAGCCATGCAGTGGCAGGCATCCCACATATAAAGCAGAGGAAGATGGGGATGGATGTTAGCTCAGAGCCAGTCTTCCTCAGCAAAAAAAGGAGAATTGGCAGCAGATGTTATCTCAGGGCTAATCTTCATCAAAAAAAAAAAAAAAGCATTGGTTTGGGAGGATGCATACTGTCAAAAACATGATACGACCTTTGAAGGTCACAAATCAGGGACATAAGTATAAGTGAAATATAAATCATGGTTCTATTTTTATCTAATCATATATATTTCTAATCACAGATTTTTTTTAATCAAGAGAAAAAATAAAAGTGATGGGACACTTTAATTATTACACCTCTGCAGAGACCTGCCACTGCCACATACAAGTTGCCCATACACTTGTTCCCCCTACACCCACATGCACTTGTTCCCCCCACATCAATGTCTGGGCCTGATCCTGGCCTGAAACTGAGAAGTGGGTAAAATTGGGCTTGGATCTCTTCATCCCCTGGCCCCCAGGTACCCTCAAGTCATGTTTCCTCATGCCAGCCCTCTTAGGACTTCCAGCCACTCTCCTTGCTATTCTTCTATCTTGAAACCACCTCTTCCACCTGGCAAGCTCCTACTTATTCTTCAAAATCCAGCTCAAATGTGACTTCGTCTTAAAGACTCCTCTAAATGGCTCAGGCAGAGATCTCATTTTTGGCTTTTGCCCCCAGAGCCCTAGCTATCTATCACTAGTCCCACTATATTGTATTGTACAGTTCGGGGGTATAGAACTCTGTCCGATTCATCTTTGTGTACTCAGAGTCTTGAAAAGTGCCTGATATGTTGTATGCCTCTGATAAATATATGGTGATTGGAGGAAGGAAGGAAAGAAAATGGATGAAGAACCAGATGGATTCCACCACTGCCATAAATTACCATCTTAGCTTCTAAGCTGATAACCAAACACATATTACTAAAAAGTCTTAAGGGATGTTATTTAAACTGAGTGACTTCTATATTCAAGATTTAAAAGAGAACGTTGGCCTCACCACTCACTCCCTCCACCCGCTTCCCCCATGCCCTGCTCCAGATCCTCTAACAGGCAAAGTAATATATCCTAAATAATTTGCATCCAAATTGGCCTCACAGTCCAAAAGAATTCACTTTTTCAATCAGCTGGCCAAGTGCACAAGGCAAAAGACTCATACCAGGGTTGTTTCTGAGCAGGCAAATTGTGCTGTTTAGCTTTGCCCCCACCACTAAATACATCCAATGGTTGATAGCAAGGTAAAGGAGAAAAGGAGCCACCAAAAATCAGCCTGCCTTGAGGGTTGCAAGCTCAAATGACTACGGGGCAGGGCAGGTTGACATTGAAGGGGTTCTCAGAGTTGATTGTGGGCGTGGTAGAGCTACGTCAGTTTTCCCGTTACTTCCCTGAATCACTGGCCAATGGCAGTCACCTGCTTGCAATTGACCCAGTTTGCTGGGCCCTGGAAATGGGCCCATCAATACCAGAAGGCAGGCCTGAACTAGAGGAATGAGGAGATCCAGCTAGGAAGGACCTCAGGGAGTGTGCTAGTCAGCCAAGGGGCGACTGGTGCCAGGTCCTCTGCCCAACTTCTCTGCCTGTTCTGCCCACTCAGCCACCCGTCTGAGTTTTCTAATACTGTCAGAGAGAGAAATGGAACTACTAGCTCCCCAGGATTAAGGGTAGTATGGACAGCACTTTCTGTTCTCCAGGTTAGTTTATAGGTCCTTGAGCTCCACTTTGAGATGGTCACCTCTGGTTTTATTTTTGTGAGTCAAGTCCCAAATCTCTAGTGTTACCTTGGCTAGCTTTTCCCAGAGAATAGTCTTCTGAAAATGATGTCCTCCTGGGCTCCTCAATATTGCCCTCTTTTTTCTTTGTATCTTGTTCTAGAAGTAGAAAAAAAAGAGGGGGGTGGGGAAGCACTTCTGAGAATGCAAGCTTTGTCACAAGGTGAAGGTAGAGTTAGTATGAAAACTTTCAGGGACAGAAATATAAGATGGGGACATCTTGACCAGCAAATGTATGATGCAGAAGGCAAGAGCTGGTCTCTGGGGCAGGCAGAATGCACAAGAACTGACCTGCAGGGCACGAGGAGATCTGTGTTTCCTGCATCCATCTGTCATACCTTTAAAATCCCAGTGTTAGCCACTCACTCCTCTGGACTGAGAGGCTCGTTGGTTTCTGACCATCCTCTAGTTAGATAACACGTCAAGGAACACTGAATCTTAAACCGTTAAATGCATAAACTTCTCAGTCTTCCTTTCCATTTGTTTTTTCTCTTGTCAAACACTGTGTATTGAGTTTAACCAAGTGTCATCACTGTGCTCAATACTTTACATACATGATCTATTTAATCACGCTTGGCACAGTGAGAGACTCAAGGGAAGTGAGCAGGGCAGCCATCCGTGGCCTGCAGTAAATGTTTAACAATCAGCTCTCTGGAAAAAAATTCTCCCTGATTTGTAGTTTACCAATTTCTGTGGAGTAAATGTTCTTACCCTGAAGTCTCAGGATCACCTCTCAGCCGAAGACTTTGCAAATCTTCAGAACTCTCTTTCTGGTTGGCTGTCTCCTCTCCAGTCCTCTGCCCTGAGAACTCCAGCTGCAAGGCCTCTCTGGACCCCCGGCTCTGTCTGTTCAATTCACCAGCACTGCTGGGCCAACCTGGACTCCCCCTCCCTAAGCTGCATCCTGGAAACTCTCCCCAGGCAGTATGTTGAGGCCATCACAGGGCTCATCACCTTTGTCTCCTCTCTCTGAGGGATTCCTTTGCTTCAGTCCTTGAAATCTAATCTCTGAAAACCGGTGCTTCATATATTTTTCAGCCTTTCAGGCAGGAGAGTGTCTGGTCCTTGTTAGCAGAAAGTTGCTAGAAGTGGAAGCCTTCCCTTTTGATTTGTGACCCCATTTTATCACTTAAGTTCTTATATATAATAGGATCTATTTCCGATTCATTGAGCTGACTTCCTAACACCAATACCACCCTATTTTAATTTCTGATACTCTATAATAATATGTTACATAATATCTTAAAGGAGTAGTAACACCCCCATTCCCTCCTTACTTCAAAAGTATGTGTCTTTTTAGATCAACCTCAGAATCATTGTGCAAAGTTCTCCCCAACCCAACACACAACTCCTAGACAAAATTTTGGTAACATTTGTAACAATTCCATAAAACTTGTATATTAATTTTAGAAAAATTGGCAGCTTTACAGTATCAGTATTCCTATCTAAAAACGATATATTTCTCCAATTTGTCAAATCTCCAGGTCACACAATTAAGGTTATTGTTGCTGTCTTGGATTTGATTTCCTTATATATTTTCTAAGTAATAAAGTTGGTTTATTTAGCTTAATAAAGTATATTTGACTTTGTGTCCATTTACTCTACAGAATGCTTTAATAAAATAAAATAAAATAGTTTTTCAGGTTTTTTATTGGGGGGCATGTTTCTAGGTATGCTATCACATCATCTGCAAATAATATATTTTCTATTTTTCCATGTATGTATTTTTATTGCTTTATATCTGAAATTAACCTGAGTTTCCAAATTAACAATATATAATATCAGAGATAGTAAGAGTCCTTATTCAGATTCTTCTTGAATTAGAAATTCCGACTATTTAATAAATAATCAAACATTGAAGCAGACTATCTTATAATGTGGGATATTTACTCAATTGAAATTAAGAAGATGTGACTTACTTGTTAATATTTTTGGAAGAGTGACATTCATATTTTCTTTACTCTTTGACACCTGGACCCTTTTCATCTTTTGCTGGATTTGCCAATGTTTTGGAGACAATTTCAGCAGAAAAAATCCATATTTCATATACTCTCTAAGGAGGAATTCTGTTTTTGCCATTTCACTGCTCAAAAGAAACAAAAATGTGATTAGGTATACCTGTGTGAAAGCATATTCATTGCTTAAAAAAAAGGTTTTACAAAATTCATTCTCTGTCATTATGTATTTGAATAATAATTTACTTAAGAAAAAATTGTAAATATGGCCATAAAAACATGGGCATCAGTAAGATATGAGCTGAGAAAAAAGAATCCTGTAGGAATGCTATTTGAATAAAACATGCCCAAAGATATGCACACATACAATAGACTGACGACAGTTTTACTCTACTTATTTCTGAGGGAAATATTGTAGACATAGGGAGGAATTAGAAGGTAGCAAAAGATGGTACTTATGTCAGGAGAAGAACGGAAACTAACACTCCATGAGCACGTACTATGTACCAGGCAATATGCAAGACACACGCAGATACCATTTCATACTCAGTACAGCACTTTACAGTCAGTATTATTATTCCCATCTTTTGGAAGAAGAAATAAATGACTTGCAAAGTCACCTGTCTAGGGAATGGCAGAGCTGGCACACAAACCTGGGTCTGTCTGGCTCAGATACCCAAGCTCTCACCAACCACACCCAGTGACGTGGACTGAAAGTCTTTTCCCAGCCTCACATTGCTTTCCCATGGTCATGTTACAAAGTGGACCCAGAAGGAATGTTTCAAATAGCAATGAAGGTCCTTGTGAAAGGCAGCTCTGCCCTTACCTTTCAGAGCCTCCTTTATTCATATCCTCATTAATACCCTTATCAATAGTACTTCTATATCCTATCTTCAGCTTCAATATCTCTTTCAGTCAGAGCCTGCCTCAAGCCCTGGTGTGAGAGTGCTGTTCAAGCATCAGTAAATGGCTGGCTCATGTATCACTAGTCGAAAGATGTCAGGAGCCCCTCGTTCTACCACCACTTTATTTTTAGATTGAAATCCTCCCAGATGTGCCTCAAAAACACGGGTTAAAATGGCTAGAATTGCACAGCTTCCAAGCAAAAGCTTCGGAACAAGCTCCCTTCCCCTTTGTAAACAGATTTCCAGCCCTCCCTGCAGTGGACGACCTCCTTGGGCCATCTCAAGCCCATAAAGAGAGAAGAGGGAAATAAACAGCAGGAGCTTGCACCCCTTGCTGTTAGCTTCTTGTTTTTCATTACCTTTCGCACCTTTCTAAGGTGATGAGGCACATAAACAACAAGCACATTCTCTTCAGCAAGGCTGTTTGGAGGGTCTAACCGGGCAGCTATTGTGCATAACTACGGTACTTTATGCAAACATAGAGGCTGCTACTCTAGTTCTTTTTTTTTTTTTTAAGATTTTATTTTTTTCCTTTTTCTCCCCAAAGCCCCCCGGTACATAGGTGTATATTCTTCGTTGTGGGTCCGTCTAGTTGTGGCATGTGGGACGCTGCCTCAGCATGGTTTGATGAGCGGTGCCATGTCCGCGCCCAGGATTCGAACCAACGAAACACTGGGCCGCCTGCAGTGGAGCGCGCAAGCTTAACCACTCGGCCACGGGGCCAGCCCCCTGCTACTCTGGTTCTACAAATAGATAGAACAGAATCTTCTGATGACATCAGCAAGGGAGGAAGGGGAATTCTCCATCTTGGAGCACCTTCAACTTTAGACCCCTAAAATAGAAGAGGCTGCTGTAGCCAGGATGTGTTTGAAACACATTCTGTTAGTAGCAACTGATTTCAGGGAAACTACCATCCAGTTCATTTGCTGCATTTCAGACAAACTGTTGTCCTCCTCCCCAAGAAGTCTAGGATGTAAGTCTAGGACTGGGTTTTAGAGGAGAGCTAGACATCAAGTCCTCCCAAAGAAAAAGCAAGTTTTAGCATGACTTGATGCCAGACGGCAGTGTCTCCTGGATCATGCAATTACTGTTTAAGGATGAAGAGAGAGGAAGGAAGCTTTTCTCGATATATAAAATTAGGTCAACTGAGATACACTCGACCATAGAAGAAAACATCCAGGTTTGAAAGAAAAGAGGGGCAGGTGGTACAATAATTGTATCCCAATTCCTGCTCTTGTAATTTTAGTCCTTAGAGATCCCGGCTTTTTATACCAATACTAGGTTCAACATGATAGGTAAGTATAAATATAAAAATATACTGCCATTATAATTGTAAGATGATTGTGAAATGAATCCCAATTTCAGAGAAGTTAAAATTTGGGAAGAGGGGGCCAGCCCCCTGGCCAAGTGGTTAAGTTCACATGCTCCGCGTCAGAGGCCCAGGGTTTCACTGGTTCAGATCCTGGGCGCGGACATGGCACCGCTCGTCAGGCCACGCTGAGGTGGCATCCCACATGCCACAACTACAAGGACCCACAATTAAAATATACAACTATGAACTGGGGGTATTTTGGGAGAAGAAGCAGAAAAAAAAAAAGGAAGATTGGCAACAGTTGTTAGCTCAGGTGCCAATCTTTAAATAAAAGAAAAATGTGGGAAGAGATGTGCCTAAGAAAAGAAAAAGGACACTTAGAAAATAATTTCTTGTTTACTCCCAGCATTGGCTGGCTTCTTTTCAACTAATTTCCTGGCTCCTATGTTGATAAGTTCGAGAAGCTTTTCAGCCAGAGGTTGCTGTGCTGTCCTGATACCCGGGCAGAGACGATCCTTGATCAACAGATTACTTATTTTAAAAACGTGCTCATCCTATGAAATCGTCAACTGATAAGCATTATTCCCACTTCAGTCTTCAATGGACATGGGCATTTGATAAGGAAAGATGGTGCCCTGGCCTCACCTTTTCACTGCTTGTATCTCCATACTTGCCTTTTTTAGTTCTGCTGTCATTTGGAGTTTGTTTATAGTTTCTTGTGCTGCACTGAAAAGTAACAGAGATTTGTTAGTTTGTTTAGTGTTGTGTTCTGAGAAACTAAAAAGAAGAAAGACAAAGGAAAAAAGCAATTGGGTCAGAATGAGACAACGAACATTTTAAGAGCATCTACAGATCTCTGGTCATTTTCTCGAAGGAACTCTTCGAAGGCCATTGCGTCTTCTTGAAGCTTGTTTTCTGCTTTCATGAGTTGCTTTTCCTTCGTTGCTATGTGTTCTTCAAGACTTTTAATTGTATTTCTTTTGGTTAACAAAGCAAACTAGGAATATTGAAAATAGAAACGCATCAAGAACATTATTCCACATTTCTAGCACATCTATAGTACATTTCAACAGTCTCATAATAAAGGGAAAAAACTTGCATAGTAAGTTATCATATGTCTTAGAAATAATAGTATGCCAAAACTTCGGGCTACGGCCTTTATTTCATGAAGGAATTTTATTTGGGGGATAGTTAGAAGGGAGACTAATTCCTCTCTTCCACTTTTATGAAGAGGCTCAATATTGTTCCAAAACGGCTGTGCCCAACATATCAAAAATAGCTACATATGCCCTCAGGCTCTATCCTAAATAAAAGCTACATATCAGATCCACCTGGTATTAGCACGGTGTCCCTCCATTACTTTCTGGGCATTGGGACACTGGGCTGTCTGCAGCCACAGGGCTCCTCCAACAGGAAGGACCACGGGAGAACGGGTTCCAGCGCTGCTGTGCCGAGGACGCACTCATTTCTCCAAACCAGGGTGGAGTGTGTGTCCAGCCTCAAGGAGCCCTGTGTAGATACCCAACTACAACTCTGACACCTAGTTTCTATTTTTTTAGTACAGGATATAAGAATCCACTTGGGTTTTTTAATGCCACGCATGAAAAATAAATTATAAATAAACAAAGCTACATACATTATAATACATATGAATTAAAAATATGGAAATGAGATAATTTTAACAAAACAACAACCAATAATTAGATATGCCAAGTTTAAAATTAAAAAAATTTCATTGATTACTTTATTCACCAAGTATTTATTGAGTGCCTACCATATGCCGGGACTGTTTTAGGTAGTGCTAACAGAGCCATGCACAAAATAAACAAAATTGCTTTTATGAGGTATACATTCTAGTAGAGGAGGAGTGGATTAAGTCAGGGGCTAAGCGGTCCAGTTGGCAAGGGCAGGGGGTTGCCATTATGTTTAGCCAAGGAAAGCCTCCCTGATGTGGTGGAAATTCAACAGAGACTGGAAGGAAGTAGGGAGCAAATCACGCACATATCTGAGGGAGAATGTTCCTCCCAGAAGGAAGAGCCTCCGTGCAAAGGCCCTGAGGCAAGAGCAAGATGATGTGTTCCTGGAACAGCAAGGAGGCCAGCGTGGCTGGAGCAGAGTGAGCCAGGGGGCAGAGTCCTAGGAATGAGGTCAGAAACAGAGAGCTGGGGACCAGATAAGTCACCAGAGGTCTTCAGCAGAGGAGGGGCATGTGTGGAGAAGACACTCCTACTGCTGTGTGGAGGACAGACTGACTGTAGGGAGCAAATGGAAGCAGGAGACCAGTTTTAGAAGTCATAACAATAATTCATGCAAGAGATGCTGGTGATACGGGACTGCATACAGGGCAGCAGCGGAGATCGTGACAAGCAGTGTGATTATGGATATATTTGGAAAAAATGTACTTGAAAGTATTTGAATGTGGATTGTGGGAAGGAGGAGTTGGGGAGAACTGCCACACTTTTGGCCTAGGCAATTGGAGAACTGGAACTGCTATCTACCGAGAGAGGGCGCACTACCTGAGCTGCAGATTTTCAGGGTAAGGCAGAGTCTAGCAGGGGCAAAGTTTTGGAAATGCCAAGTCTGAGATGCCTATTGAGGACCTAAGTGCAGATGTTAAGAACTACAGTGGCATTTGTGAGTCCAGAGTTCAGGGAAGAGAATCAGGCTAGAGAAATAAATGTGGAAGTTGTTAAAATGGAAGGGGAATTTAAAGCCAGGGGCCTGGAGGAGGGCAGACAGAGCGCAGGGTGAGGAGTGAGCGTTCCAACATTTGGAGATCAGGCAGAAGAGGAACCAGAAAAGGAAACTGTGCAGGAGTGAGCAGCCAGTGATGTGGAAGAACCAAGAAAGAGTGGGTCCCGGAAACCAGCTGAAGAAAGTATTCCAAGAAAGAGGCAGTGATCCAGTGAGCCAGCTGCTGCTGAAAGGTACGTACAAGGAAGACTTGAAAGGGCAAGTTGAATTTGGCATAGGAGGGTCATTGGTGACCTGGACAAAAGGAGTTTAGGTGGAATGATGGGGACAGAAGCCTGACGGAAGGAGAGAATAGGCAGGACAATAGACCTGGGGCATGAAATGGAAAAATAAAATGTCAAGGTGAAAATTTGGTAATGCTGTGCAAGCAGTGTTCTGTTTGGCTAATGGAAGAAAGAAACTATTACCTCAAGCAGAAACCTGTTTCTCTGATCAGTAATAAATTCGTTGATAGTCCTTTTTGTGTCTGAACCTTTAAAGAAAATTGAAATAGACTTAGATTTAGTTCATTATCTCTCAAAGATGTTGTATAAAATAAAAGCTATGTAATTAAATTATTGCATGCCATATGTATCTGACTTAAAAAAAATACTATAACTCCAGATCAACTTTTTTCCTAAACACTCAAAAACTAATTAAAAATAATAACTATGATTTATTTTGTGTCCATCATATTCCAGGAACTTTATTAGACACTTTAAATCATTTCAATTAATCCTAACAATAATCCCACAAAGGTAGTGATTACTATCCCCATTCTGTATGTGAGGTCCTGAAGCTCAGGGGTGTCAAGATGTTTGTCTAAGATCACACAGCGAACAAGTGGCACAAAGGGCATATGACTCCTGAGCCTGTGCTAAATAAGACGGAACTGTTTTCAATCTTAACATTTTAGCCAATCTAGACATAAAACTGAAGTCCTAAAAATATGTTTGGGGATCACAAACCAAATTTATGGCAGGAAAAGAAAAGATGACAACTAGCTTTACCATCTAGCAATAGAAAAGACCCAAGTTTCCTTTCTTTTTTTGTTTTTAAGTAATCAAAGACCTGATAAAGACAGCATAAAGCACTAATTTTTTTTTTCTTTTGAGGAAGATTAGCTCTGGGCTAACATCTGCCACCAATCCTCCTCTTTTTGCTGAGGAAGACTGGCCCTGAGCTAACATCCGTGCCCATCTTCCTCTACTTTATATGTGGGACGCCTGCCACAGCATGGCTTAACAAGCAGTGCCATGTCCACACCCGGGATCTGAACCGGCAAACCCCGGGCCACCAAAACAGAATGTGAGAACTTAACCGCTGCACCCCCGGGCTGGCCCCCAAATTTACTTTCAAGGTTTCTTCATTCTGGAAAAATACATAGGCTATATTTCAACAATGTTTGCTTCATGGAATACCAACAGAATGTGATATAGAATAAAAACCTCTTAATAACGATGTAAATATAAATAGAAGTAGAGATTAAATAGTATTTTCCAAATAACCAGGAAGCCTGTGCTGCACGAAGAGGCCCCCCAGGCTTCTTGCGGTTGTGTTCGGCCTCCTCTTCTTACTAGCTGTGGGAACGTGCGCAAATTACTCACCCTCTCCAAGCCTCGGTTTCCTTGTCTGTAAAGTGAGGATACTAATTGTGGTAGATTCTATCGTTGTGCCCAAATGTTTTCTGCCCCTCTCTGGAAGAAGATTATCTCCCTCACCCCACCCCCGTTAATATCAGGCTTGACAATTGACTTGATTTGGCTCATGGAATGGAAGTGGAAGTGAGCTATGTTGCTTCCATGCAGAAGTTTTAAGAACCACCACCGATTCTCTTTCTCCCTCGGCCATAACTCCAGCAGAGGGCGGAAGAATGGGGGAGGCTGTTCCTTCAGTGCAGGACTCAGTGAAAAGCACAGGGTTGATGGGGCCGGCCCGGTGGTGCAGCAGTTAAGTTCGCACTTCCTGCTTCAGCGGCCTGGGGTTCTCCAGTTTGGATCCCAGGTGTGGAGCTATGCACTGCGTGGCAAGCCATGCTGTAGGAGGCATCCCACATATAAAGTAGAGGAAGATGGGCACGGATGTTAGCTCAGGGCCAGTCTTCCTCAGCAAAAAGAGGAGGATTGGTGGCAGATGTTAGCCCAGAGCTAATCTTCCTCAAAAAAAAAAAAAAAAGCACCAGGTTGAAAACTGAATGAGAAATAAACCTCTGTTGTTGTGAGCCACGGAAATTGAGGAGTGGTTTATTACCATAGCCTAAATTAGCCTAAGTAGATCATTACTATTACTCTTCACCCCATAGCAGTGTTGTCAGAAGGAAATGAGGCAATATATTACAAAACACATAGTAATTTCTTAGTAACTGTTAGGTATTCTTATTTTAAAAATACAACTGGAATGAGTAATCACTTAATTTTTCAAGGTCAGTAATAATAGCAATAGTGATTATTATAACCATCAATAAATAGTTCTATGATGATGAGTGACAGATAAACAACAAGCTTTGGAGTCAGACAGGCAATGGTTTGAATTCTGCATCCATGTAGTGACCTTAAATAAGTGAATCAACCTCACTGAGCCATTTTCATCAGATGAGGAGAGGAGGCACAAAGATCTAACAGCATTTTGTGGAGAATTAAATAAAATAACATATGTGAAAGTAATAAGCACCTAGTTAGCACACAGTTTTCTTTTTAACACTTAAAAAAAACTTTATAGGGGCTGGCCCCACAGCAGCCCCATGGTTAAGTTCAGCATGCTCTGCTTCAGCGGCCCAGGGTTCACAGGTTTGGATCCTGGGCGCAGACCTAGACCACTCATCAGCCATACTGTGGTGGCAACCCACATACAAAATAGAGGAAGACTGGCACAGGTGTCAGCTTAGGGTGAATCTTCCTCAGCAAAAAACAAACAATCCCGACTTTTTAGTATAGAAATCATCAACCTGCATAAAAGTAGAGTCATAAAATGAACAGCCATGTACCTATCATCTACTGCAACATTACCAACATTTTTTTTTTAAGAAGATTAGTCCTGAGCTAACATCTGCTGCCAATCCTCCTCTTTTTGCTGAGGAAGACTGGCCCTGAGCTCACATCTGTGCCCATCTTCCTCTGCTTTATATGTGGGACGCCTCCCACAGCATGGCTTGCCAAGCAGTGTCATGTCTGCACCCGGGATCCGAAATGGCAAACCTTGGGCTGCCAAAGTGGAAGGTGCACCCTTAACCGCTGCGCGACTGGGCCGGCCACCAATACCAACATTTTACCAATCTTGTTTCATCTATTGCCACCCCTCATTTTTCCTTTCATTGGATATTTTAAAGCCAAGCCATTGTTATCATGTCATCCATAAATACTTTAGTATGTAACTCTATCAGATAAAAAAGTTTTAAAACACAGCCATCGTACTATTACCATCCCAAACAAAAATCAACAATTCCTTAGTATCATCTTACACCAAGTGTGGGTTCAAATTTCCCTAGTTGTCTCAAAAATAACTTTTTAAGGGCTGGCTCAGTGGCATGTGGTTAAGTTCGCATGCTCTGCTTCAGTGGCCCTGGGTTTGCCGGTTTGGATCTCAGGCATGGACCTAGCGCCACTCGTCAAACCATGCTGTGGCGGCATCCCACATAAAATAGAGGAAGACTGGCACAGATGTTAGCTCAGCGACAATCTTCCTCGAGCAAAAAGAGGAGGATTGGAAACATGTTATCTTCCTCACACACACACAAAATTTTTTAATTACAAAGAACTTTTTAGAATTTAAAAAATTAAAATCTAAACAAAGATCAATTTGGTCGGTATGGCTCCTAAAGTCAATTTTTTATCTATAAAACAGCCATCCCCCTCTCCCCACAGACACTACCTTTTTTCCATGCCATTTATTTGTTTAAGAAACCAGATCAATTTCCCAGGAGAATTTCCCACAGAATGGACTTGGCAGATTGCATCCTCATGGTGTGCTTTAACATGGTCCTCAATCTCCCATATATACTTGATTCAATTCAGGTTCAATTTACTTAAATATTTTTAACAGAAAAAAAGAATAAAAGTGCTTACGGTAGCTTGATTTGGTCACTTATGATGGGTCAAATTCAAAATAAATTTCCATATCCAAAAAAATCCTATACTGTCAATTTACTAAATATTATAGGCATGCTCACCATTTCAGGCTCCTTTAACATGGTACTGTCTGGCTGAGTTGATGCAATTTTATTCTTCGGCTCTAAATAGACTGGTTATAGTGGGTTTCCCACTTCGGCTCTTCTCGCTGTCAGGCAGGTCTTTTGGCTGAGAGACCATGTATGATAAAGCCCTCCCCAAAGCACTAGTTCTCCTCGACACCAAGGCACCTCATCACTCCCCGGGGAGGTAATGACCAGTCTGAGGGGTCTGAATCTATAGAGGACTGCAGCTGAGCAAAGCCATCCAAAGGGGTTGCCCCTTGAGAGCAAAAACAAAGTCAAGCCTGGTGCATGAGCGTGGAAATGGCCCTTCTGTCACGCAGCCTAGCTGATCTGCCTGTGACAACTGCCCGGGTAACGTCTCTGATGGTGATCTAGCAGTCTACCATTACTGCAAACACAAAGACAAAACTACCTACGCTCCCAAGGTAGGCGCCTCTTCTCATTTTACTATCATGTAGACTTGTTTTCAATCAGAATTTAGGCAGGCAGCGTAAGGTTGGGGAATGGGGGTTTAACTCAAATCAACTCTTGATTGGAAATAGGGTCTTAGGGGGACTTCTTTATTTTAAACGAAAATGTCCAAATTGCTTCTCTATGTAATCAGCTGAAACTGACAACCTGATTGCCATTGCCAACAGAGCCCAAATTGCCTTGGAGAAATTTTACTATTTCCTTTTTAAGAGTCTACCATATGTCATTTACTCTTAAGAGACCAGTAACTCCATTAACCAGCAGTGGTGACGAATAGGGTCATCTGCAAAGTCATCCTTCCTAGTTATCTCAGAACTGTTAGAGTTCTGGCAAGGATTTTTGAAGTCAGCCACTTTGTGTAGAACTCTTTCTAAAAAACACATCACCCATAATTTTAAATGCTATTGATGTCTTAGGATTCTCCATTCTACAGAGGTGAACTATGGGACCCAAGACTGAACCTAGAGACACCTTGTCAGTAGTATAGTCACTGACACCACCACATTGCTCTCATTTGCCGCTTTTTCCATACAATTATAGTGCAGAATATGCCCCTCCAAGGTCTTCTAAACAAGTTAACACGGCTTCCCTTTTCTACATTAATTATTGAATCCAGAGTTCTTTCCTAAGTGGTTTTCTTGTTCTCTGAAGATTCTTTTTCACAATTTGGGAAAGTGCCTGGACTTTCGGAGCCAGAGAAATGTTTTTTAAGTTACCACAGCAGATCCTGGGCACTTGATGTACACTCACTCTTCCTCTCTTCCTCCCTTCCTTTTCAATATTTTGTTAAAAGATTTGGACGAGACTCATTTGGGGGGAAGATTTTATGACTCCATCATCCTAGCATTAATCACTTTAACTTTATTAGCTTCAAACTGCTTTCTATCTCATTTGTAGGCACTTCTTGATCTGATAAGTAGGAATTGCCTGTGACATTTTGATTACCAGATTGCCCTCTTTCATAGAGCAATAATTAATAGCTTGTAGTATTTTTTTTTTTTTTAGGAAGATTAGCCCTGAGCTAACTGCTGCCAATCCTCCTCTTTTTGCTGAGGAAGACTGGCCCTGAGCTCACATCTGTGCCCATCTTCCTCCACTTTATATGCGGGACGCCTACCACAGCATGGTGTGCCAAGCAGTGCCATGTCTGCACCTGGGACCCGAACCGGTGAACCGGGGCCGCCAGAAATGGGACATGCGCACTTAACCGCTGCACCACCAGGCTGGCCCCTAGCTTGTAGTATTTTAACATGTTGTCTTCAAAGCTCATTAAAACCTGATACAAAGTTTACCTCTTTGCAACAAAAGGCAAACATTTCATTCTATTAGCTTCCTGATTCTGGATATATGAGTTCTATGGCCCAGACAATCAAGACTTCTCTTTAGAAAGTTTCTATATTTCCACATCTAGAACTGAGTTTAGATGGCCAGAGCCATTACCTTTAATACTATATCATTTTGGCAGTGACTTTCTTCCTTAGAGCCATGAAAATGAGAAACAGTCTATTTCTTGGAAAAGTATGTTTTCTTATTTAAAATAGATTTTCTCCTGATTCTCAACTCCCATTTACAAAGACCCCCCTCACCATATTATGAGACAGCATGCTTTGTTTAGCTCGCCTCCAGAAAAGCCCCCAACCCTGACATTAACAGTAAATATTCAAAACAGTGTTCTTTAAACAAAGAGTAACTTAGACGTACCTTCTGTTAATCTGAGAATAAGAGTGGGATCTAGCCCAAATTTTTCAAATGAGCCACCAGTTGTCTCAGAGTAGAATACTGTTTGGCTCAGATGTGAACGACTCTTCATTCGGGATGAAAAAGTAGACTTTTGGTGGACTTTCATGCTGCGGTTCATAAATTTTTCCTGCCCAAGTGGAAAAGTTTAAAAGAATTTCCAATATACTAAAATAATGTTGCCTTAAAATAGCGATCATATATTAAAAATATCATTTGCAAAAGTCCTTTTATCATTACTAATACATTAAATAAACAACCTCAATTTCTTATCTTTGGAGGACTGTGTATAGTTTTCAATTCCTTCTTATATGAAGCTGAGCACAAATATGAAAACGTGCAACCCTTACTAAGCATGTATGTCACAAACACGAGACTGGAAAATGTTATTCTGGTTTTATTTTCACAATCTTGTCCAAAATGCAGTTAATTTGGAAATTCCATTGATTTGAAAGAATTGGTTCTGTGGAATTGGAAACTTGAGAGGAAATGGACCTCCTCAGTAGACATCAAAAAATCAAGCTTCCAATTTCATGAATCTTTTCTCAATTTAATTTTGGATTCTTTCAATAAAACTATAGACCACGGGCATAAAATCATCATCTTACAGTTGAACCAGCTATTGGACATTTCTATATATTTTCCTCATTCTAGTTAGGATTTTTAAAAAAATTCTGGATCAACCTTTACCTCTGGGAATTAGGAAAGCAAGCGTCATGAAATCCGAACCATGTAATGTGAAGTATGATCATGCAAATAGCCAGATCAACTGCAAGGCACAGCTGGAAAGTTAGCCTTGTCGCTGATCTAGCTTCATACCAACTAATTCTAAGATAACACCCCTTCCTTCACTTTTATGCCTTCTTCCTTCCCCCACTGCCCTCCCTAGTACGCGCATATACATTCTCTTATCTGTATCTATCGGACAAATTTTGACTTATTCTTAATTCAGCTCCTGTTAGCGCCTCAGTGAAGTCTTTGTGCGCATGCACACAAACACACACACAATCCACCACGACCCTCTTCTCCTCAACAAACATGGGCACCCCTTTCTCTACATTTCCTTTGTGTGCCTCTATTACTGTATTTCATCAACTCTAAGACGCCATTTATTGTAAGATGTACTACTATTGTATGCACTGCCAATGCTGTAGGACATCTCATCTATGGAGGCTGGATTTCACTTGCAGAAATGTGAAAATGTGAAAAAATGGGGGCATTAGAATCAGTGAGGTAGGGTATACTGTACCCATCATGCTGGGCTGTAGTGTATCTGTCTTCCCCCCACAGGCATTGATAGTAGGTCCCTGCCACAGGCTGGATGCTGTCCTCTCCTGTGTGTTGACACCATCTCCCAGAACAGTAAAAGTGATAGATAAGAGGATCTGATTCTAACATTAATTGGGATTGGGATTTCAATAAAATCTTACCTTTTTCTTTGCTGCTATTTCATTTTCTTTGAAAAGAAAGAGATCTTTGAAAAAGATCTTATATGGCCCATCCTTTTTGACTGAGTCATCGTTTGCTTTATCTATTCAAAAAAAAGAAAAACTTCTGTCATCTCTCCTCTGTCAACCAGAACAGCAAAGCTCCCACTAGCCAGAGTAGAGTAAGAGGGATACTCCGGTCTCTGAGGAGGAGGACACAGGCATCCTCACCTCCCGCCTGAGGCAGAGATGCAGGGCCTGGATCTCAGGGACAGAAGCCACAGCTCCTCTCTCTGTTTCCCATGGCACCCGGCACAGTGCTCAGTGCTTCACAGGAGGTGAGTGGATACTTGCTGTGTAAATAGATAAGGGGCCTCCTACAAGATAGTGGGACCATATTTTGAGACATTAAGATGTTGCTTCTTCCCACCACTACAAACATATCCACCATTACCCTTACACCACCATTTTGTCAGCAATAGACACAACCAATACCCTTAGGGAGATCCTCAGGCCAGACCAGAGAGTCTTAAAAGGGAAAGTCAAAGATAATAACAAGTGTTGATGAGGGTGTGGAGAAACTGGACCCTCATACACTGCTGGTGGGAATTCAAAATGGTGCAGCCACATTGGAAAACAGTCTGGGAGTTCCTCAAAAAGTTGAACATAGAGTTGCCATGTGACCCAGCCACTCACTCCTAGGTATATATCCAACAGAAACGACAACATTATGTCCACACAAAAACTTGCACATGAATGTTTATAGCAGCATTATTTATAATAGTCAAAAGATGGAAACAACCCAAATATCCATCAACTGATGAATGGATTAAAAACAATATGGTATATCCTTACAATAAAATATTAATCAGCCATAAAAAGGAATGAGATATGATACATACTATAACATGAATAAACCTTAGAAACATTATATTAAGTGAAAGAAGCCAGTCACAAAAGGCCCCATATTATGATTCCATTACATTCTACGAAATGCCCAGAATAGGCACATCTCTGGAGACAGAAGATAGATTAATGATTTCTTAGGGCTGGAGGTGAGATGGGAGATGGGGGTGGTGGCTAAGGGATGCAAAGTTTCTTTTTGAGGTGATGAAAATGTTTTCAAATTGACTGTGGTCATGGCTGCTCATATCTGTGAATATACTAAAAATCGCAGACTTGTACATCTAATAAAAAAGAAGCCTGGCTACAAAGAGAGAGACACTTTTTGTTTTTGTTTTTATTCATAAAATCTGAAATTACAAAGCCTTTCTCTTTTTCTTTCTTGCTTTCTAATGCTTGGGGGCGGGGGCTGAGGGATCCTGGCTTTAAATACCAATAGCTAAAGCCAAGAATACTGGGAGCTTGGAGATGACCCCTTAAATCAGGGAGAGGGAAAGGATGAGGACAAATTCCCCACCCCCAGCATCCACCTTCACTCACCTTCACCTCCCTAAAAAGCTCCAAATAAGAGATTCAGTGGGTCTGGCCCTGAGCCAATAGAATCACTCTGGTTCTACATCATCCCTCCCCCGGGGTCCCCCACCCCACAAGATTCTGGTCAAGCCAGCATGAACATGAGAATATAGGTTAATACCATTTAGGTTTTGGGATAGGGGAAGATTTCTTAAACAACAGAAAAACTATTAATTATAGAAGAAAAGATGGATACATTTGACTATCTTAAGGACTTTGTTCATTAAAAGACACCATAAATAAAGCGAAAAAATAAGTTAAAACTGAGAAAAGATATTTACACTACATACAACTGACAGAATTGGGATCTCCATATTTACAGAAGTACATTCAATCATTACGAAAATCAATAAGAACAACTGACAATAAGTACAGTACAAATCAATAAGAGAAGTACTAACCCCAGTAGAAAAATTTTTAAAAGAATTTATTGAACAAGTATTTCGCAGAAGAAGAAACACATATGGTCAATAAACATATGAGTACTGTTCAACCTGATTAGTTATCAGGGAAATGCAAATAAAACCATCATGATATCCCAATGTCACCCATTTGATTGGCAAAAAATTAAGAAGTCTGATGATACCCAACGTTTAGAGAGGCTATGATTCCACTGGATCTCTAACACATTGTCAGTACACATGTGATTGGGCACAATTACTTTGAAAAACACTTTGATATTATCATTTAAATTCGAATATTCACCAAGCATAATTCAATAGCAACAATTCTATTCCTAGGTATATATGCAACAGAAACTGTCTCGTATGTACCAGGAGATAGGTACAAGAACGTTTATTAGCAGCTCTGTTTTTAATAGCAACAACCTGAAACAACTCACTTACTTATAGGAGAGTCAACAAACAAGCTGTGATAGATTCATACCACGTGGTATTATGCAGCAGTCAAAATAAATGATCTGCAGCACACAACGATATGAATGAATCTTAATATATAGTGCTAAGTGAAAACGTTTCAAAAGATTATAGTCAGCAGGATATTCTTTTTAAAAAGTTAAAAATAACTAAAGTAAAAAAAATATGCTCTTTAAGACTACATATAGACAAGATAAAATTATGTAAATAAAAAGGCAAAGAAAGAATCTGCATAGCATTCACCATGGTGGCTACCTCAGGTGAAGGAAGATAAGGGATGGGGTGTAAGGTATTGTCAGGATCCTGGCTTTTGTGGCTTCTGGTAGGTTCAGAGATTCATACATTATTAATATATATTAATTTAAAAAGAGAGGCATGGGGAGCCGGCCCCGTGGCCGAGTGGTTAAGTTCACGCACTCTGCTTCAGTGGCCTAGGGTTTCGCTGGTTCAGATCCTGGGCACGGACATGGCACCACTTATCAGGCCACGCTGAGGCGGCGTCCCATATGCCACAGCTAGAAGGACCCACAACTAAAATACACAACTGTGTACTGGTGGGCTTTGGGGAGAAGAAGGAAAATAAATAAATAAATAAATGAAAATAAAAAGAGAGTCATGGGGCTCAGGGAACTGGTCCCAAATAGGCCAGTGCTCGTCCTGCTTTTTATGCTGTGAGTGATAAAGTCCTTCGTCTTTGACCCAAGAGTTTTGTATCTCCTGTCAGCCTCCAGGAAACTGTGGCAAGTTCACTTATTAGTTTGCAAACAGGGGAAAATCTGAGATCCCACACAGTTCTTGACAAAGTAATTTAAACCCTTTAATAAAAAAGGAATCATCTAATATCTACTATTCTACTCTTCTGCATCTTGGTTTTTTCAATTAGCAATGTAGTTAGGAGTTCTTTTCACATCAGCACACATATATATTTACCTCATCAAAAGAAAAATAGCTGTCTAGTATCCCATTCCTTGTATCATCCTTTATATTACTAATCCCGTGCCAATACACATTATGGTTGATCCAGTCTTATGCTATTATAAACAATGCTGCAATGAATATTCTTGTACACATATCTTTAATCACTTATGCAAACATATCTTAGAATAAATTGCCAACACGGCCCTATCTAAATGCTTTTTAAAACTTGCTAGTGGACCAGAGGCTCCAAGTGGTCCCCAGACACCCATTCTGCCTTCTTCTACAGGAATAGAGCCCTTAATTCTAGCTTGGCACATGGGCACCCAGAGTAAAGACCTCAACCTGGCTTAGAGCTAGATATAGCCACGTGACTAAGTTCTGGACAAGGTGACATCAGGGCAGGTGTTGAGTGTAACTTCTAGGAATGTCCCCAAAGGGAGGGGCATCTCCTTCCCTCCCATTTTCTCTTCCTGGCTGGCAGGAATATGGGTGTGATCACTGGTGCAGAAGCAGCCACCTGTGATCAAGAATATAGGCCAGCAACAAGCTAGAAGAAGCCCGGGCCCCTGACGTGAGCCTCCACATGGGCCCTGGATGCTAATGTCCAGAGTTTGTTACCTAAGAGAGAACTAAACTTCCATCACGTTTAAGCCTCTGCTGTTTTACATTTCTGTCAGTTGGAGCCAAACCTTTTAATTCTAAATATAGATAGGGCCAAACTGTCCTTCAAAGAGGATGACGATAGAAAGCCTGTTACCTGGAATACACTCTTGATGTTATCTAATTTTTAAATCTCTGTCAAATTTACAAGTGAAAAAAAGTTATTCTTGTATACTGATAAATACTAATTGCTTGTATACTTGGAAAGAAGCGGGAGGATAAGGAAAGGGTGGTAGAGGAAAGGAGAGGACAAATTTTGATAAAGTGTGGTTATTCGTGTCCTTTATTATGACAAATAATTTGAGTTAATTGTTTTATGTCATGCAAGACTTTAGCAATCTAGCTAAATATGACAATCTAATGCCCCTCTGATTGGAAGATTTTTCTTTTCAGAATTAAAATGCAGAAGAGAACCTTCTCAGCAGGCAGTTTATAAACTCTACACAGAGACCACGTCTGATGCTCCTTGTGGAGCTTTCTCCCTTTCTTACTCTCCCAGTCTACTGTGGGGGCTAACCCCACTGGGCACAAAGCAAGAACTCCTTGACTGATTTCTTCTTTACCTCCAGAAGTCAGCGCTATCGGCAAAAAATGCGATGACATTTTGTCTCCTGGCCCTGTCAAAGAAAAGGAAATACATCTTTAAAAATTCTGTAAACATTGCATAAAGCAGCTAAATTCAACTACCACTGACACCCAAAGAGCCTTCAGTGCTTTTAAAAGCAGTGCACACACAATGTTTTTGACCCAGTGATTCCAATTCTACAAACTTATCCCAAGAAAATAATCGCATAAGTGGGCAAAAAAGTATGGGCTACAATAATGTTTATCAATATCTTATTTAATAAATAGGGAGTTGATTAAACAACTATGTTATACCCATAAAATGAAGGTCATGAGGCCCTTTAAAATGATGCTATTGTGACTATTTACCTCTGTTCCCTCTACATTATGAGTAAAAAACAAAATATTTCAAAAGAGTAGGAATAGTGTGGATAAAAAACAGATGCCAAATCAGAGAGGCATTTGAAAAGTTGTCCCCCAAACATTAACAGTGGTTTTCTCTGATTTGGAGCAATCTCTCCTTTCATTTTTATCAGGTTTGGGATTTGAATTAGATGAATTTGAATTAGCAAATCATCTTAACTGCAAATTTTACAGAAGTGCCCCCAAAACTCAGTTATTAAGATAAATAACATATTAACGAAACTTTTTAAAAAATTCAAAATTAATGCAGGGAAAAATCCGTGATAAGCAAAATATCAAAATGTTAAATACAGACAGGATCTGACTGTGCATTTATATGACCCTGAGAGTGAGGGCCTCGCTTGCCACACCCTCATCCCAGCCCACAGATCTTGTCTTTATTTAAAATTTTGATATTTTGTTTCATCGTGGATTTCTTACATTAGTTTTTATTTTTGAAAATAATGAATTAAAATGTTTATTTTGATTACTGAGTTTTTGCCTCTCCCTTTAAATTGTGCACCCAAGGGAAATGCCTCACTTGCCTCCCCCTAATCCTTGCCTTGAAGTTTTATACTTTTTTTGTATCATTCAAATTTCTTAATGAGCTTGTGTAATTTTTACCATGAAAAATATAACAATGATATTTTCATTTGGGGAAGAAAAAGGATATTCAGGATTTTATATAAAAAGGTGTGCCCATGACAGGAACAATGAATGAGACGAAACGTCCTATTTTGGCCTGCCCATTTAAATTTATGCCTCAGTAATCTCAAAGAGCCATGTTTGAGAGCCAAGAGTCCCATGAGAGCCTGTATAAGGTGATTAAGAGCACAGACTCTGGAGTGGACAAGCCTGTTGGTTTGGCATTTACAGATGTGTGAGCCAGTTCATTCAACATTCAGAAAATATTTATTGAGTACCTACTCTGTGCCGGGCTGGGTGCTGAAGATGGCAATTTAAAAATAAAGAACAACAAAAAAGACAAAAACCGTTGTCTTCAGGGAGCCTACATTTTAATTACTTAGCATCTCTGAGCCTCAGGTTCCTATTCCATGAAATGGGAACAATAGTTCCACCTCTCAAGGCTTTCATGAGGATGCAATGAGGCAACGTATATAACAACCATCAGGGTGCCTAGAATACAGACCAAACTCAGTAAGTGGGACCTATTATGCGCCAATATTTACTAATTAATAAAAACCTACAATATTATTATACATTTTCAGATTACTGAAGATTTTTTCACAGGCATTGGGTTCATTCTGACAAATGGAAAACAAGGGTTGGTGAAAAATTGATGACAACCTGTTGGGTTGATATATTTGGAATCTGGACGGCTAATACTAAAGATTTGCAAAAGATTTTCTCAAATTTACACTCCGTACTCATCTCCCCCCTAAGATTCTGCTCAGCTTTCTTGTCATACTTTTACTCCTTCAATCCTTCTATCTAAATTCACTCCCCTCCCCATCCCCACTCCCATTCCCTTTATCCTGAAAGTCTACCTGCAACAAACATCTTTATCCATGGGTTCTGGCACTTTTTCACTCATAGAAAACCTGCAAGTTCTCGTTCCTCCAAGCCAACTGCTAACAGCAGATACTTGCTCTTATTCCATCTCTCCAGTAATTTGTAGACCACGTAAATGGAATCAATAGTTTCTAGAAGTTGTTATACTTCTGTATTTTCATATGTATTAATCTCCTTATTAATTAATGAAGGGTTGGTGAAGAACATAGGAGAGAAGAGAACCAGCTATTCTTAGGAAGGGATTATAAAGTTCTCTGAATTAAACCAGTATGATATGCCAACCAAGAAAAAAGTGAAAGCCAGTGAATGTCTTTGTGGCGCAAAAAAAAAATAGCATAATGACTAAACAAAGGCTCTGTAAGACAAAAGAGGGAAAATGTTGTTGGATTGCATAGCAAATGCCTGCAAATTCACATCTAAAATACACGTTTGAGTTCAACTTCTGATGGATGAAAAGAGAAAGAACTCAGAAAAATCAGGGATTTAAAATGGTGGTGTGTGACTGCAAGCCATCATTTTTAGAGGTGGCATAGGCTAGCAATTAAGACTGTCATTATGCTCCTTAATCCTCACACTTCAATTTCCCCATCTTTCAAAAGGGATGATAAGAATGGCGCCAAACTCATGGCATCGTTAGGTGAGTTAACATATGTCCTGCCCTTTGGACAGCATCAGGTGCATAGCAAGTGCCATATGAGTGTAAGCCATGGAGAAAGCATTCCAAGGAGGGAAGATCCTTGGAGTTTCTGAGGAACAGGAAGGGGACTAGTGGAACTTAAGCACAATGAATGAAGGAGAGAGTGACACTTGAGGTCAAAGAGATAACAAGGGCCCTGCAGGTCATTTACTCAGTGAAATAAAAATCATTAAGTGAATCACTCTGACTGCTGAGCTGAGAAGAGACTAGAGAAGGGGATGAGGGTCCCATAGGGAGACCTGTTGGGCAGCTACAGTCATTGGGAAGCAAGAGATAATGGGGTCTCTTGGGATAGCAGTGGAAGTGGTGAGAGGTGGTCAGACTCGAGATATATTTAAAATAGAGCCTACAGGATTGGCTGATGGTTAGGATGTGGGGCATGAGATAAAAAGCGCAGGAAATAAAGGATGGACTTGCCATCAATGGAAACAGAAACGGCTGTGGGGGAAGGGGCTGTTGGGAAGATCAAAGGTTCAATTTGGAACATGCTAAATTTGAGATATCTAGTAGACATCCAAGGGGACATGGTGTAAAATATACTGTTCTTCTAAGTCAGCATCATGCTGGTTGGTTTAATTCATTCTTGCATTCCTCCAATGTTAGATAATTATATGTGGTTGCTGAGTCAGGTCCTTTGATGCATATCACTGCAGGGGCAGAATGAATGGCACTGTGGAAAGTCCCCGGTCTTTGGGGGCAGGTAGGTTTCAATCCTGCCTCTGACTCTTATCAGCTCTTTCCCTTAGGCCTACCCAATTAACCTCAGGCCGCCTTGGGTTTTGCTTCTCTCAAATATGGACACTAATACCTTCTCTTCCAGGCTTGTTGCAATTTTCAAACACAGATAATGTATGTAAAGTGCCTACTCACTCTAGGCTGATAGGGAAATAACTGCTTATACTTTCTTCAAAGCAGCTATCCAGATCTGTCCTCTTTCTAGTCCACTCTGTCTTGTGAATAACCATCAGCATTTGACAAGAGTGAGAGGGATAACTGACGACTAGCTTTCGTAAGAAACCCTGAATGAAAGTTCCTGAAACCGGTCATTTGAGAGGAATCTACCAGCAATATTGGTGCAAATTTAGGGAACCTGATCCACATTAGTGCAGATTCTTAACATTTCAAGCTTCGTGGAAGTGGAGAGAGAGGAATGGGGTTTTATAATGTCCAAACGTAAAGTCCTAGACCAACTCTCAATAAAATGAACAATGACAATTTCTACCAGATGTTACTCAAAGCAGTTTGTGACTTTCTCAACAACTCTTTCTACAACTCAATGAAAATGGATTTCCAGATTCTCTCAATATGAGATAAAAAGCTTTGCTTATCTTCCATATGCAAACGAATATTTAGACAGATTCTCTCAAACTCAATGCCTTCCAATTTTTTCCCACCCACTTGGATGAATACTAGGAGAAAGGGCTGTGAACTGTGTCCTTGGATGGTGTGTAGAGACCAGAGCTAGCAATTTTTTGTTTACCCAAGAGCCAGGACCCACTGGGTCCTTGGCCTACTCAGTGACCTGCCTCTTGATTAGGTCAGAAGCAGAGCAGGGTGATGAGGAAACTACCTTCAGCTTGACCTTTAAGGCCCTGCTGGCGTCACGCTAGTTATTTTGTGTGGACTTTTCTGTTGACATTTCTGACTGCCCGTTTTGCAAACCGAAAAAATAACTGGAAGTCAAGAGGAAGGAAGAGTAGGAAAAAAGAAGCCAAGCCAATGTGAGTCAGATGATGTGAAAAGGACTTAACACTAAGAAGTGCTATAGGGATGTTGGTTATTACGAGGAAAAATGTGTTACCCTCACCCCTCTATAATTACTTAACAATGACCGAGGAGGAGACAAGTCCACTCTCATCCTTCTGACTTCTGCAAACCTCTTGTTTGCAGGGGTTCTCCAGGCAAAATTGTATATATGAACTGTAATTGGATGCGCTCAGGTCACCCACAAATATAAATCCCCCTGAAAAAAAGGGTCAATTTCTTTTAGACTTGCCAAGAACTTGTAAACTTTAAGTACATGGTACATTCTGTGTAGTCAGGAGGGGACCTGGAATTATTGACTGAAATCTAATCTTTAACTTAATTGACCAGTAGGACAAATAGCAGGATTAAAATAAACTAACAGTAATAGTAGTAACGATAATAATAATAATTATTATATATGTAATATATGATTATATATAACATACAATAATATATAATTATTATTATTATTACTTATTTAGAGCTAGGCACAGGGCTAAGTAATTTACATTTCATCTTACATAAAGTTCAGACAAGTCCACAAAGTAGAAACAACTATCTCCATAACACGGATGAGAAAAGTGAGGCTTAGGGAAATTAAGTACATTTCCCAAGGTCAAATAGCTCATAAGTAACAGAAGTGGGATTAAGACAAGTTTATTGAACCCCAAAGCCACCTATATTCCTATTTCACCCCATCCTTTATACCTATAATTCCATAAATCTGCAAATATGCCTATAATTGCAAAATGTAACAGATTCCAGTCTCTAGGAGAAATTTTATGATGTAAAATTTTAATATTTCTCTATGAATTAGTGACTTTGTGTTTCTATTTTCCATTATTTCTATTTCTCTTGTATTATTTCTCTTTCTATATTATACTTTCTTTTTTAAACTGTGTATAGACACACACACCTGTTGGTGATCATGTATCTGAGTGGTGAGTAATCTATGGATTTTTTTTTTTCCTTTAGGGTCTCTTTTATTCACAGTCTATTGAATTCTTTTCCAATTTTTTTCTTTCCTCTCTTTTTCCTACCTGACTGAACTCTCTCTTTTATGGCCATAATATGAAGCTAAAGCATATTCTTATTTATTGTGTTTATCTAAAGGACTTTTTGCTTTCTGTTCTTCATTTTTAAATGGCTTTAAAATGACACTAAAGTGAGTTACTTTTATATTTTATGCTTTTACAGGCCTCTGCCTTTTTTTACGGTATGTTATTTCTGTCCATAAAGTGTTTTCCTTTTGATTGTAGCCTTTGCTGGGCAGAGAAAGTGCCTGTCCTGTCTTTGTATGTTCCACAGGCCTCACACAGAGCTTCTAATAAAAGTTTATACACAAAATAAAATAATTAAGAAACTCAAAACAAAATCCGGTGCCTGCCAGTGTTTTCACAGCAAGTGAGAGGCACGCAGAGGTGTGGGCGAGAATTGTAGACCATCTGTCTTAAATAAACTTGATTCCGTCTTCACCTTGCTCCCAAGCTGAGGGTAGACTCCATCAGATACAGCGGGGGTGAGAGGGGGGTGACGGACACCGAGCTGAAACCAGTTTTACCTCAACGAGTTCGGATCCAGGAGCCGTTCCAACCTATCCTTCAGAAGGCGTTAACGGGAAGGTGGGCGGAGACGCCAATCGATTCTCCAGCCTCGGCTCTATCCTCCCCCGCCCGGGTCCCCCTTCATCTCGGGGACCGTCTGCTAGGAGATCCCGGAGCGGAGCTGGCCAACCGAAAAGTGCGCAGTACCCGCCACCCTGCGTCGCGGCTGCGCGGACCCAGGAGCAACCCCCTGACCCCCGCGCGCGCATCCCCCCCTCCCCACCCCTCGGTTCCTCCGCAGAGGGTCCTCCGCGCCCCAGAATGCCGCCCAGCCCGCTGGGCAGAGGTTTCCCCTACTCTTTCCCCTCCCGGGGTTCTCTGCTAGGTTCCCGCACCTGCTCCCTGGCAGAGGCTCCCCCAACGCTTCCACCTCGGGGCGCCCTGGGCTCTTGGAGACTCCTTTCCTTCTGGCCACGTGATCGACTAAGCCCACCTTTATCTCCCTGGTGACCGAGCTTTATTTCCTTATCTGTAAACTAGGCACAGGAGTCCCTACGACATTGCCCCAGAACGTGATAGAGCGACCACAAAAGAGGAGACTCCATAATAACGTTTATTACTAATCATCATTCTCGGGGCTGGTGCCCGTCCTGTCGTTGGGATGGTTGGGGGAGGCGCGCACGCCCCCGAGCTTTGGACGCGCAGCGGCCGCCAGCGCCCGCCCCGGCTCCACCCTCTGGGCCCAGGCGGCGCAGCCTCCGGCCGCGCACCCTGGTCCTCCGGCCCCCCCGCCGCTCGAGCCCCGCGGCCTCCCTGAGCCCCGTGGCGCGCGGCAAGATGGGCGGCGGCCACCGCCTCCTGCTGGAGAACGCGCGGCAGGTGGTGCTGGTGTGCGCCCGCGGCGAGCGCTTCCTGGCGCGGGACGCGCTGCGCAGTCTGGCCGTGCTGGAGGGCGCCAGCCTGGTGGTGGGCACGTAAGTGGCCGCGCGCGGGGGGCTCGGCAGCCAGGGCCGGGCTTGGCCCTCTTTCTCTGCTTGTGCGCTGTGGAGGGAAACCGGGTAGCAGCTTTCTCGCGCCCGGCCTGCCTTTTAGGGACTTGTAACATGTTTCACTACTTCGGGTCGTCATTCCGGGGGAAAAACGCGCTCTCGCTGCACAACCCCTCCCCATGTCCCCCATCCCCAGATCTTTTGAATCAGCATCTCTGCGGGTGGAGTTCTGAGACCTAATTTTTACAAAGCATCCCTCCCACCCCCGCTTCGTCTGTACATTAAAGCTTGAGAAACACGCAAAGCGTTCAGATGGTGATGGTTGGGGGTGATAGGAAATTAAGATTCAGCCACCAGAAAAAGAGGACATTTCTAGTTATTTTTATTTAACCGTCTGAGCTTCCTGCTAGGAGTGAATAAAAGAACAGCCACAGTTTGGGAGGGCGGCCCTAGGGGTGTTGAATGCGGATTTGAATTGGAGAGCCACATGGCGCGGAGATTGCACAAGATGAATGTCGCACCCCTTATCTGAGGCTCTTAGGGTTGTGTAAGAGCCCAGCTGTTAGGGACTGGGTGTGTGTTTGTTTTTAATTAACAAAGAGATAAAAACATTCCCAGTGTTACCGTCAAAAATTTGTTAAAATCAGTTAACAGAATTGCACAAAGGTAGGAATCCAGGTCTGGTTGACGACCATGTTCCATGCAGTTCCCAGGATCCAGGCCCCTACCATCCTCTCTGCTGTGCGAGGCCGCCTCTCTCACAGTCATCCTGTCGTCCACCATGGCTGCTCCATCTCTCGCTATGGGGCTGACATTTCAGCCAGTAGGAAATAGGAAGAGAAAACTATCGTATTGGCTAGAACTTAGTCACATGGTCCAACCGGGCTGATGGGAGACTCCGAAATGTCGGCTTGATTCTGGGCCGTGTGTGTCCAGTTAAAGTTTAGAAATCTAGCCCTGTGGAGAAAGGGAACGTTGATACTGGGGAACAAGTAGCAGTCTGCCAACGTGACTTGACTTTACGGCTTGCATGTGGCTAGAGTCACTTTTCCTAAGACACCAGTTCAAGAAGGAAATACAGTGAATATTAACTGACCCCAAAAGATGTCCGTAACATATTTTAAATCATTCGATTTCTCACAGCGTTTTCCCAAACTTCAGTAATTACTTTTTGATTTTTCTTCAGGGATGGGTTTATAAAAGCCGTCGGTCCTGCTGATGCTATCCAAAAGCAGTTTTCTGAAGAAACGTTTGAAGAAAGAATTGACTGTTCTGGGAAATGCATCTTGCCTGGTATTAGCCTCTTTTTCAGTAAAACCTTGAAAGCAGTCTGATTGATGTAAAGAGGAAGAGTGGCAGCCTGTTTTAAAGTCTCACAGTAATATTACAATATAAACATAGCTACCATGGATTGAGTTCTACTATTGGATATCTAGCTGCTTTACAAACAAGTTTTCATGTTAAATTCTTTCTAACTGCCCTCCAAGGGTAAGTATCATTATCGACATGTTACAGATTAGAACACTGAAGTTTAGGAATCTTACCCAAGATGGCTAAACAGGTAAAGAGCAAGCTGGGAATCAAACCCACTCATTCGCTCCACTTGTTCCCACTCACATGGGGAAGAGAAACCAGCTGTGTTGTGTTTAGATTCAAAAGCTGTTGGAAGGAATTTATGAATCCATTTCCTTGGGGAGGCAGAGGGCTGGCTGCTGTCTCCAACCCCAGAATGTACTCCAAATTTATATAGAGTGTGAAACAAAGAACTCAGCTCTAGGTGGAAAGGAAAAAACATCCTGGAGATTTCACTGAAGTTCATGTCTGTCCTTAGTGACTGACAACACAATCAGTTTATTAACCATCCTCTCCTACCTTCTCTAAGTTTTATGGCTTCATGTACTCATCTGAAACAAGGTTCACAAATTTTGAGTTCTGTGCACACTTGGAGTCTAGGATTTTCTATTTTTTGTGTCCTGTGAGTATCTGACAGAGCTTCTGGCTCATGGGAGTTAGGAGATAAAGTCAGAGTGAAGCCTTATGAGAACGAGCAGAGTGTAGTAGAAAGCAGTCTTAACAGAGACTCTTGATTTTAGTCCCATCAGAACCACTAATGAGCCATTTAATCCACAGAGATTTTAAATATTCTAAAAGACACACTTGACTGAATTGTACCTGGATGAACAAAAGTTGCAAGTGATTGTCTTATTGCTTCTCTTTTAATATACTTCTTTCTTGAGAAAGATTCACCTTTCTGATTTCATATTTTTCCTTCTCAAAGTTGAGGTGGGGGCATTGTATTATTCTGTTTTCACACTCAGATTATTCCTTGCTGATACAATCATTGGTTTGCTCAACTAAAAGATTCGATGTTCTGGTTTTTTGGGGGTTTTTTTGAGGAAGATTAGCCCTGAGCTAACATCTGCTGCCAATCCTCCTCTTTGTGCTGTGGATGGCTGGCCCTGAGCTAACATCCGTGCCCATCTTCCTCTACTTTATATGTGGGACGCCCACCACATCATGGCTTGCCAAATGGTGCCATGTCCGCACCTGTGATGCGAACGGAGAACCCGGGCGCTGAAGCAGAGCATGCGCACTTAACCGCTAGGCCACCAGGCGGCCCCTTCACCTTCTATTTTAAAAGCTTGCTTGGTGAGCATGGACTTCTTGGCCAAAAGAAAGGGAGCTGTATTTCTTTAAGGGATATTTTCATCATGTTGAGTCACCCTCCTCCCTGAGAACCTTCTAGACCAGCCATTCAGAGAGGCTTCTTGTTTCCTCTCTGTTTGAGTGAACCGTGCAGACAAATTCTTCCGCCTTCACCCCCTCCAAGATGGCTGACCGACATCATGCTTTCCTAAGAGCCTAGGGTATAGTCCACCTACTATCTAAGGGCTGTCTGCTTCTCAACTTTAAACATGATTTGATTTATTGATTACAGGTTTGGTGGATGCACACTCACATCCAGTATGGGCTGGGGAAAGAGTTCACGAGTTTGCAATGAAGGTAACTGCGATAAATGGTGGCACATCAAAATAAAGGACAAATTTATAGACAAGTCTTATGCTAAAGAGTTGATGGGCTATCTTATCATATGCCCATATGTCTTTTTAGTGGATATTTTTACTGGCTTAGATTATGGAAAATAAATTACAACAAAACTAACTAATATATAACTGTCCCAAATCTTTATACTGTGCACAGGGCTAGCAATCATTTTAAGTATAATAGTTTTCAAACATTTTTAGCTGCAGAATCTTGCTTTTAAAACAACTGAGTTGTGTTGCTCACTAATTTCTCCTCTCCTTCGTTTCCCCCATTCCATCCCACCATCCCTGGGAGCCTTTGAAGGTGGCCCACGAAACAGTTGGAAAATCACCGTTCATTGGGGTCAGACTTGGAAAACTATATTACCAATCACAAAAATAAAATAAGTCTTGTCCTGTTCTCATTTTTCCCAGAAAAGTGAGATTTCTTAAGAAACATAAAAAGTAGTCTGTGTCAGTCACTAATTAGCCATAGTCAACCCTTAAATCCCTAGTTGGAGCCATTTTCACATTGTTTTAAATAGATTTTATCTTTTAGAGCAGTTCATGTTTGCAGCAAACTTGAGAGGAAGGTACAAAGATGCCCCCTGCCCCACACGTGCACAGCCTCTCCCACTCTCAACATCCCCCACCAGAGTGGTACATTTGTTATAACTGATGAACCTACATTGACACATCATCGTCACCCACAGTCCATAGTTTAGGGTTCACTCTTGGTGTTGTACATTCAATGGATTTGAACCAATGTATCTTGACACGTATCCACCATTGTAGTGTCATACAGAGTAGTTTCACTGCCCTAAACATCCTCTGTACTTTGCCTCTTCATCCCTCCCTCCCCACAGCCCCTGGTAACCACGGATCTTCTTACTGTCTCCTTAGTTTTGCCTTTTCCAGAAAGGCATATAGTTGGAATCATAAATGTGTAGATTGGCTTCTTTCAGTTAGTAATATGCATTTAAGGTTTCTCCATGTCTTTTCTTCACATTGGTTTTTTTTTTTTTAAAAAAAGTGTACATTTTAACAGCTAAATTGGATTATTTCAGAAAAAGAAAAAAATTTCTTCAGATATTGGGTACCTTCCTCAACAAGCAAGAGCTGTTTTTAAGACTTTTCTGTTAAATTGCAGAATGTCAGAGACAAAAAGCAACCTTAGAGAGTTGAGATTCCAATCTCTTATTATATAGATGCAGAAGGTGTGGTTCACAGAAAGGAGGGGTGTTGACTGAGTTCACCAGCCCCCCATGGCAGAACCCAGATGAAAACTCTGACCGGGGGACTCCCAGGCTAGCATACTTTGTTTACACCGCACCTTGCTGCCCAAGAGTAACAGAGCGTAGTGGGATCCCAGAAAGAGCTTCTGTATTTGCTTGTGACAGAGTGACAGGCCCCAAACTCTAGTGGCCAAATACTCAGACATGCAAACCTCCTGGGTCTCTCTAGTGTAGATCTGAATAACTGCAGGGGGCTTCCAGAATTGCCTAAGCTTTGTTTTCTCATAGATGCTGAGGGATAGGTGGAAACTTAGCTGGTACACACTCGGGCCGACTGGGTTGTTAAAATACTGGAGTACTTCTGTACTGGTTGGTGAAGTGCAGCTGCCTGGAGACCCCAAGTTTCCACCACATCTCCCATTTCTGCCACCCCAGGCCCTTCCTGGGAACCCCCCGTCCCCACCCCACCCCACTCCCTGGCAGAGTAGGGGCTTCCAGGACTATGTGCCCCAGTATCCCTTCTCATTGGTTGGTGCCCATAGCATGTCATTGTTAATCATTTTAATATCACTCCTGCAAGCAGGTTCTGTAGACCTGCCTGCAACCTCCCGGCGTTTGCCGGGCCTAAGAATGAGCCGTGTGTTCAGTTGGCAGGAGCCACGTACATGGATATTCACCAGGCTGGAGGAGGGATAAACTTCACGGTAGAGCGCACGCGCCAAGCCTCGGAGGACGAGCTATTCAGCTCCTTCCAGCAGCGGCTGCAGTGCATGATGAGGGCTGGGACCACGCTAGTGGAGTGCAAGAGCGGATACGGCCTCGACCTGGAGACCGAGCTCAAGATGCTGCGCGTGATTGAGCGTGCCCGGCGGGAGCTGGACATCGGCATCTCGGCCACTTACTGCGGAGCTCACTCAGTGCCAAAGTAACTTCAGCCAGTGGGACCCGGGTTTAACTTGGAGCATTAAGAACAAAGAAGGGGTCATGTGGCACCTAAGTGAGGGCTGCCTTGTCGGGGTAGAGGTGCATCGGCTCTTGCAGAATTCTAATGGTCAGTCTTCTCACACACATAGTTTTAGGAAGGCGATCCCCATCAGACCCGTCAATTTGCTAGCCACTTAATGATGATGGAAGAAGAGAGATTCAAAACTCTTCTGGTTAACAAAAGGAAATGCCCCTTTATAGATCCTTTAAAATGACCGATATTACTCTAGTTTCCCATGACAGCATAAAAGCACTTCAGAGATTAAGAGTAACATCCTGTAGGAATGGATCAGTTCTTGAAGTCAAGATGACTCAGCATGGTTGTCATTTTTGTTTATTCATTTGCTTATTTGACAGCAGACATTTTTATTGTTGTAAATGTTTTTAGCTTTCCCCTCTACCTAAAAATTTCTCCTATATGACTTTACTGTAGAGAATTCTGTCCCTTTCTGCACCTGCATCTTATCTGTCCTGTAATTTCTACACCTGAAGACACAGTTCCTGAACTAAAAGATCCAAAAGAAATCCAGGACGTGACAATTCTCAGGGCGTCTCCAAGTCTGAGTGCAGTTTTTTTTTTTTTAAAGATTTTATTTTTTCCTTTTTCTCCCCAAAGCCCCCCAGTACATAGTTGTATATTCTTCGTTGTGGATGCTTCTAGTTGTGGCATGTGGGACGCTGCCTCAGCGTGGTCTGATGAGCAGTGCCATGTCCGCGCCCAGGATTCGAACTAACGAAACACTGGGCCGCCTGCAGCGGAGCGCGCGAACTTAACCACTCGGCCACGGGGCCAGCCCCCTGAGTGCAGTTTTAAGCTTTGATAACCTAGATATATAAATGCTACAGCCTTAGAAAATTATTTGGAAGTTAATTATTTATTTTTGCATTTACTTAGTTTTGTGAACTTTGAAAAATAAAACTTTAATGTTATTTTTTGTTTACTGTCTTCAATCAGAGGCACTAAAAAAATTAACATTAAAAATTTATTATTAAAAATTCACAAAACTAATTCAGTAGAAAAGAAACATAAATACTTCATATTTCAGTGATGTTTGTTGTATGTTTTTAGCATTTATACTTCTGAAATTGTTAAAGCTTAAAACTGCACTAAGACTTTTGGGACATCTTCTCTATAGAAAATAGATTTTTTTTTTTTCAAACAGAGTATAAAGTGTATTATAGTCTGTTTTTTTTCAGTAGGAAAGACTGTATGACGTGGTAGAAAAATCTCAGGCTTTGAAGCGATACCAGACCTGGGTTTCAGTCCAGATCAGATACTTCCGGCTGGGTGATTTTGAGGGAGTCACTTAGCTTTTTGGAACATGAATTATTCATCTGTAAAGTAGCTAAATAACTCCCTATTCTATATGATTTTCTTGAAAAATAGAAACAACGTATGTAAGTGCCTGTCTCCTCGTAGTCCACCTCTATCTACTCACCCAAATGGTTTTTGCAGAACAAGAACATTCTATGTGCCAAATACAGGGATGAAGTTTTACAGAAATTTTCTCCATCTGCCAGTGAGTCTCTGAGGTCTGTGTCTTGATCCCCAATGATAAAGCCTGAGGCTCAGAGTTAGGGTTCAGCCAAATAATGGCTAAATAACGTGTCCAAAATTATGTAGCCAGCAAGGGGTGGGGCTCTGTGTCTCTCCGACCTCAAAAGCCCAGCCTTTCTAATATATAATTACCCCAGAACCATAGAGAGAATTTGAGGGCCTCCTACGATCTTCCCGCACGTCTCCAAATGGTGAGACAGGAAACCTTAAGCAGATGTTTCTAGAAACAGTGTGGAAGAAGAAAAAGACAGTGATAGCTGGGGCCCAGGTAAGGGCGTGCAGTTGGATTGTCAGGGAAGCATCCAGGATGCCCTCTAAGTGTCCTTGACAGGAAGATTCAGTTTTTCAATCAGGTGGCCTCGCTGGCATTCCCAAAGGCAACACAGGTTTGCCAGAATGGATGAGCCCTTTGAGTCTCTGTGTACAGGGTCAGTGCACACAGAAGTCTTGTCACTACCTCTGCTATGTAGGAATGTCCCAATTGTTAAGGGTCCTGAGTTATAGCTTTGATTCTTTCTCTACCTTTCTGAGGCTCAAGGTCATTTGCCTGTAGGTTCTCAGGTTTTCCAAGTGCCAAAAATCCCTTTCTCCAATTTTTTAAAAAATACTTGCCCATGGTAATCTCATTTTCTTCCCTCAGAGGAAAAACCGCTAAGGAAGCTGCTGATGACATCGTCAATAACCACATCCCAAAGCTGAAGGAACTTGGCAGAAATGGGGAAATACACGTGGACAATATAGATGTGTTCTGTGAGAAGGGCGTCTTTGATCTCGATTCCACCAGAAGGATTCTTCAAAGTGGAAAAGATACAGGGTTACAGATTAACTTCCATGGGGATGAGCTCCACCCAATGAAGGCTGCTGAGGTATGGTTGGCCCTTGCTTTTCCTTTGTTGACACTCATGCTGTGGAAATCTTCGTTTGTTCAAATGTAGGACTAGCCTTCTGAAGAGAATGGGGAGATTCGTTTGAACAAGGCTGGCTGAGCCTTGAATCCCTGACCTCAATTAGAAATTTACTTTGTTGCTGTTCATTTACTTTTATTATCACCTGCTGGTGGTATTAGTAGAAAAAGAAGTACATTTGTGGTCTCATTTACTAAATTCACAACCTATTTTGGTTGGCACACAGAGCCACTCTAGCAGGTTCTATTAATTTCAGACGTAGCTTCTAGGGTCTTTCCGTGGCAGCATCCAGATGAACTTTAGTGGCGCACACCATCGATAGACCCAGGAGGAGTTTCAAATCTGTATGTCTTGCCCAGATTCATTTATTCATGCTTTAAACTAACGTTTGAGTGTCTACGGTATGCCAGGCACTGTTCTAGACATTGAGAATTCAGCAGTGAATAAGACACACAAAATTCCTGCAGACGTGAGCCTAGACGGCGCTCTAAGCCCTAGAGCTAAAGAAACAACTGAACTTGGGGCATAAATACAGATGTTGATACGCCACGTGTCTCAACCGCAGCATGTCCCATGTGATCTTTTTTTCCTGAAAGATCAGCCCCTGAGCTAACATCTGTTGCCAATCTTATTTTTTTCTTCTTCTTTTTCTCCCCGAAGCCCCCCAGTACATAGTTGTATATTGTAGTTGTGAGTCCTTCTAGTTGTGGCATGTGGGATGCTGCCTCAGCATGGCCTGATGGGCAGTGCTGTGTCCTTGCCCAGGATTCGAACCTGGGAAACCCTGGGCCCCTGAAGCCGAGCACCCGAATTTAACCACTCGGCCACAGGGCCGGCCTGCCATGTGATCTCTTAATATCACTTCCAAATCTTGTCCTGTGTTTCCTGCCCCAGTGAATGACACCGTTCTCTATCTGTTGCCTAAGTCAAAAACCTGGACATTATTTTGACTCCTCCCTCCCCCAACATACCACATTTCAGCCAACAAGCAAGACCTCCCGGTTCTCCTCCTAAACGTCTCTAGCTCACTTCTCTTCACTCTGCGTAGTTCAAACCACCCTCAGCTCTCACCTGGATTCCTGCAACAAGCCTTCTTGCCTCCCAGCTTGGCTGCACTTTAATCCATTCCCTCAGTGTATCTTATCTTTTCTTCATTGCTTAAAGGCTTACCATTGCTGGTAGGACAAATTCCAAACTCCGTACACGTAGGCTGAGCAGGATCCAGCCCTTGCTTACCTCTCTATCTCCCCCCCCACCGCTTCCTTCCCCTTTTTCATCTCTTCTACCCTCTTTACCATGAATCAGCCAAAATAAGCTATTTCTAGTACAACTCATACCCCATTCCTGTGCGCATGCCGGTTCTCTAATCTGGACACTCCCCTTTGTCTTGCTAACTCTGACTCCCTTCCATGTTTCACCTCAGCTACCCCTTCGCTGGGAGCCTTCCCAAACCTCTCCAAGAGTGGTCATAGCTCCTCCCTGTGCTTGTCGCACTGTGGTAAAATTGCCTGCTGGACTATAAACACACTAAGGACTGTACCCGTGTGCTACACAGCCCTGTCTCTGGAGGTTAGCACAGTGCCTGGCGTACAGGTGGTCTTTAGTGAGTAAATATTTGTTGAATGTTTATTGAATGAATGTGAACTGGGTGGTCAACAAGATACTTTTGGTCATAGAGAGTGACTGGTGAATTGAATCATCGGAGGTCAATATGCCAGATGAACAAATCAAGTTTGGAAAAGCGAGGGTGATTCCAAGGTCAGAAGGGAGCTCTCCCTGGGGAGCACAGACGGTGCTGTGGAGTCCAGACTCCCCTGAGCCCCAGTCCAAAATGCTCTTAGACCTGAGCAAGCTGCTGCCGGGGGCCAGCTCTTTCCTGCCCTGGTGGGGGCATTACAGCCTCCCTGGGCCACTGTGTAATCTCAAATATAAAGTCTACTTTCCTTTCCTTGGAATGTTTAACTTATCACTTTTCAGCCTGGGGCACTTCTTGTGTGTGTGTGTGTGTGTGAAATTTGTCAAGCTGAGAAGAAATGAACTTTAATGCGTATTTCCATTATTGTCATAACATTACATCCTTTTGGTTTTCTTCTAATAATCTGGACCAAACTTTTCATCTGGAGAGAAATCAAGCTCAAGTAGATATTCTCAAATTATACACAAGCCCACATTTTTAAAGTTTGTTTTCTTAACTGATGTTTTCACTGAATACAATGGCATTCCAAGATCCTTTTCTTTATTGTGTTTTTATGATACTATATAATTACATTTTATTACCAGTGTTGCTCAGTGTGGTTTTTTTTTTTTTTTTGAGGAAGATTAGCCCTGAGCTAACTACTGCCAGTCCTCCTCTTTTTTGCTGAGGAAGCCTGGCCCTGAGTTAACATCGTGCCCATCTTCCTCTACTTTTTTTTATATGTGGGACGCCTACCACAGCATGGCGTGCCAAGTGATGCCATGTCCGCACCCGGGATCCGAACCAGCGAACCCCGGGCCGCCGAGAAGCGGAACATGCGAACTTAACTGCTGCGCCACTGGGCCGGCCCCTCAGTGTGTTTTTTCTAATCCATAAGATTCGTAAAATTTTCTTTTTTATCAAATGTCGAAGAATATCAGACACCATTTGTGTAAGAACAGTTGTGGAAACAGCACGTTAGCTAATTTTCAAATGACTGTCCATCACAAACTCTGTATTCACATTGGGGCTTGTTCTTGCGAGAGGTAGTTGGCAAGAAATTTTAATAATGAAGAGTGCTGTTTATTTTTGCAGGAAAAACAATTTTATGGCACTTTATTGATTTTGCTGTTGCGTTTGGTGAAACTTTTCTCTCTCTGCTCATTCTGCCTAGCTCGGGGCTGAACTGGGAGCCCAGGCGATCAGTCACCTGGAAGAAGTGAGCGATGAGGGCATCGCTGCCATGGCAACGGCCAGGTGTTCTGCTGTCCTCCTGCCCACCACGGCCTACATGCTGAGGTGAGGTCACTTCTCGCTCCCACGCAAGAGCTGCAAGTACAGGCTGTGCAGACACAGACTTCCAAGATGCCTAAAAATTATTTCATATCTCTTAACAATGCAGATAAGAAAACTTAGCTCATGGAAAATGCCAGTTCTGGAATGATGTTCATAAATAAATTATCCTGAGGAAGAAGCTTAGACCCAAATTGCTTTGGAGTGGTGGGATTATGGGGAGAGTGAAGCTTTCTTTTTCTTTTTTCCTCATTTTTGGAATTTTCCAATTAAAAAAAATCAATATGCATTCCTTTTATAATTAGAAAATCATGAAAAAGGCTTTAACCTTTAAAAACATGCGTAAGATGTTAGGAATATTTAACAGTATTCAGCATCTGAATGAGCTGTTTTCTAAGAGGATGCAAGTGGGTACCATAATCCTCATAAATCTGGGAGTGGGAGGAAAGAGGAGACGTCTAAGTGTGTTTTGTAAAATCTCCCTAGGAATTTTGCTGTATGCCCTCTATGGATTGAATACACATAGTCCATCTTTTATAACTGCCCTTGCTCCAGTTCTACCAAATATGAGACCTGAGGTCTTCTGTGTCTTTCCACTGTACGACTTCTGTGTCAGCCATCGAGTTTGTGGTCAGGGAGACTAGCATTCGAGAGGCAGTTTATTTTCTCTTAGAACTAGGTGCTTTCTGTGTGGTTGGGACACATGGTTGTCAGGGAAATGATTCTGCAATTATGGCCTTAGGAGAGTGGTTCTTAACCTCGGGGTGAATTTGCCCCTTAGGGGACATTTGACAATGTCCGGAGACATTTTTGGTTGTCACGGCTAGGGGGTGCTGCTGACATCTAGTGGGTGGAGGTCAGGGATGCTGCTGAGCATCCCACAGTGCATAGAACAACCCCCTACAATAAAGAATCATCCGGCCCAAGGTATGAATTGTGCTGAGGCTGAGAGACTCTGCCTTAGGGATTGAAAAGCCAGGCTTCGGGCAACTTTTATAAGGGAGAAGGAAGGAATATTGCAGTGCTTTTCTGAAATTAATAATTTTATACAGTCACATGTCTAATATCCATTTCTCCTATTATTATTATTCTCTTAAAGAGTAGACGTAATGTAGATTACAACCAGAAAATATCAATCAGTGACTGTTCTTGGATGACCAACTGCTTTTCCTGCAAATCTCAGTAGTCATCAATCTAAATCATCAGTCAATACCTAATCTGGTTAATTTTCCACCACCCAAGGAATAAGTTTTTACAGAAAAAGGATTTCTTTAACTTTAAAAGGATCACTTTAACCTTGAATCTCTTAAAACGGAGCAAAAAATCAGACTTGCGGTACCGAAGGACAGTGCAGAATGAAAAGTCTAAAGTTTTTCCCTATGCCAGTGGTGGCCGCCATCGGCCATCACCACAGGATGGGTTTGGCATCCCATTTGGACCACAAGGGCAATCAAAGAGAAGTCCACACTCTCCTCTCTGGCTTCTCTGTTCCTGTATTTTTCTGATCTCTCCATCAGGAGGAAGCTGCAGGGCCCTTGCTGTACCTTGAGCTCTCTTAACCCTCATTTCCAGAATAACCATTGCCTTAGGCCACTTGAGGACTTCCGTTAGTCATTATTTTATACATCTTTGCGTATAATATTTAAATTTATTCAGGAAACGTTTACTTTAGTTTTTCTGGAGCTCCCTGAATACTTTTAACCGCCTCACTTTTTTTTCCTCCTTAGTAGTGGAAGGGGGAGGGGAGGCCATCAGAATGACCTGCAGGGAAATTTTAACCTCTGCCCTCTCTTCACTCTATATTTCTGCTTCGCCCACCTCCTCTTGTACATCGTCCTCGTTGAGAAACGTTATTTGAAGTGGTCCTGAAAATTGTCAGTCACGGACTGGAAATGTCTCAAGGGCAAGAATCATCTCTGCACCCCTAATAATTTATTAATCATGTATTCAATACATGTATCGAGGGCCCACTACTTGTCAGGCACTGATCTAGGCACGGGGAATCCAGCCACAAATAAAACAGAATCTTGTCCTCAAGAAGCTTGCATTCTCATGGGGAGAGACAGACAATGTGCAAACCAACAAATGAACATATAAAATAGCAGGGGATGGTGGCCGGCCCAGTGGCCGAGTGATTAAGTTTGACCCCCTCTGCTTCGGTGGCCTGGGTTTGTGGGTTCCGATCCCAGGCATGGACTTATACCATTCAGCAAGCTATGCTGTGGCAACAACCAACTTGCAAAATGGAGGAAGATTGGCACAGATGTTAGCTCAGGGCCAATCTTCCTCACCAAAAAAAAAAAGGGGGAGATGCTTAGTACCTTGAAAAGAGTCATAGTAAACCAAGAAGATAGAGAGAGTCTCGAGGGAGGGTGCTGTGTTTTTAGGGTGGTCAGGGAAAACCTTTCCAAGGACAGGACACTTGAGCAGAGACCTAGAGGAAGTGAGGGAGCAAGCCAGACCTCGAGGAAGGAGTGAGGCTCTCTAGAAGAGTGTTCCGGACAGATGGACAGTGAATGCAATGGTGGAAACACTCACTGTGTCTGAGGAGCAACAGGAGTGAGGCCAGAGAGGCAGGAGCAAGGAGGGGGGAGATGCCATCCGGCTGAGTCCATGGTGCAGACAGGAAGTCCATGGGAAGCCACTGAGCGTTTTTAAAAGCACAACGACACACTCTAACTTATTTTTCTCAAAGATCCCTCTGGCTGCAAGGTAGAGAATAGGTTTTAGGAGAGTTGAGAATAGAAGCCGGGAAACCGGTTAAGATGGTCTTACAAATATCCTGGCAAGCGATGATGGCGACTTGGATCCAAGGTGGTAGCAGGTATAAAAATTATACCTGGCAGGTTGAGCTCTCTGAATATGTATAAGGATTGCTGAGATAATCCCAAATTCAAGAAATTAGTCATTGCCAAGTAATTTCACAAGCAGAATGAGAAAAACCAGGAGTCCTGGGGTTCCGCCTGCCTCCTCCACGAATCTTTTAGCCTTGAGGTTCTATTTCTTCCAGAACAGGAAGGCGTTGGATATCTTAAGTCAGCTTCCATCCTGAACATCTGTTCTTTCTTTCTTCCCCTTAGACTGAAGCAACCTCGAGCCAGGAAGATGTTAGAGGAAGGAGTCATAGTTGCCCTGGGCAGCGATTTCAACCCTAATGCCTATTGCTTTTCAATGGTAATGATTTTTAATGTGCTTTTCTGAGCAGAGTGTCAAACTTCTACCAAGCATATAACTAATTTAAAAATATTTCACTAACTTAAAATGTGTCAAAGATCTAAAACTATTTTCCTGTGAAACAAGAAAAAAAGGTAGACAGCAGTGTAATTGAATGTTTCTGTGCCACATGAAGGCCTCTGGCCCTAGATAGAGGAGAAAGTTCTATTTGCATTATTTTTTGATTCAGCCTTGGGCATTGTGGTTTTCCAATAACTTACTTCCCCTTTTGGAGAGTAGTGTAAACTCAAAGAAGATTTAGTTAGTAAGTGTGGAGGTGAGCTTCATCTTACGGAGTAAGTGGGCTTGAAAAGTTGTAAATAAATACTAAATACCCATGGCAGGGGTACTCTCTATAATAAAGGAATCTTTTCCAAAGCATAAGACTCTTTACTTGTAAATGTAAATTTTCTCATGCCAGTTTAGCCAGTTCCACCTATGCATTTAACCACCACCACTCGTTATGCTGTGTTGAGAAATGTCCTAGGTAGCAGTTGCCATTCTGTTGCTTTCCTCCAGTGCCTTTTTCTTCCGCCTTAGCCAATGGTCATGCACCTGGCCTGTGTAAACATGAGAATGTCCATGCCTGAGGCCTTGGCTGCTGCCACCATCAATGCGGCTTATGCACTGGGGAAATCTCACTCACATGGATCTTTGGAAGTTGGCAAACAGGGAGATCTCATTATCATCAATTCATCCAGGTGAGTGTCCTCCCAACTAAGCTATTGTATTTTATGCCCATTGTAATATGTAGGCTCGGTTTAAGTCCCTTCTCCATTAACTGTTGGCGTCAGGCTCTGCGGAGGCGCAGAAGCTACCCGATTTCCTCTATTGCCTCCACTTTCTCACCAGAAAGTCTCCCCACAGGTCCTACGCTACGGGTAGACTAGGCTTTCCAGTCTCTTCATCCATCTTGCATCTTCCGTAGATCTCCAGGTCTCTGCTCTGTTTACCTGGACTTTGGATTCTTGTCCCCTGGGCGTGTGTTTTTGTTTGCCTTCTTGGCTTCTGACCTTGTGCTTTTCTGGGTCATATGTGTCCCAAATAGGGCTTGTCAGCCTGGTCCTGATTCATTATCTCTCTGCCGTCGCATTCCATCTGTTTCCCAAAAGCCTGGCTTCAGTTTTCCTGCCTCTGGTTTCATCTTACTCTCCCAGTCGGCTGCCACCTGGGCTGCTAGTGTGACAACTGGAGTCTTATTGTTCTAAACCTTAAAGCTGTAAATCCTATGGCTCCTTGACCCTAGTGAGTTTATCCCAGCCCTTGGACCTCACGTTCAACCGAAGAGACTGGCTCTATAATTCCCCCTCCATAAACCACTCTCTCTACTGAAAATAATGCGATGTTGCTATTCGTGCATCACTTAATTGAATCAAATATTTTAAGATCAAACACTTAAATGATATCATTAAACAATATTTAACTTATCATAGTAATCTATCGTTTTTTTAAAAATCCAAATATCAATGACTAAGTGGAAAGAAATTTTTAGAGAATGTATTTTTAAATTAGCGTTTATTAGCAACATGAGAGTTTTGATTCATATGCATTAAAGTGATGTTTGATTTCCTTCTAGATGGGAGCATTTGATTTACCAGTTTGGAGGCTACCACGAATTAATTGAATATGTTATAGCTAAAGGAAAAGTCGTCTATAAAAAATGATAGATCTGAAAGGAAAGAGAAGACTCTTCGACTGTTTAAGTCAATACGGTTATATTACAAGTTAAAGTACCTTAGTAACTTACAGAATGATGTCACTTAAGTATATTTCAATGTTTTGTTAATCCACTCGAAAAACTCAGGGATTAATTTATTTTAATTTGACATGTCCACCTGGACATGTAAAAAGGTAAACCAGTTGTGATGAAAATCTCAAAATGTTAAGTTGTTTCACAAAGATTTGTTACAAATATCCTGAAAATTAATATGAGGGAGTATCACAAAAATGCCTTTGTGGGGGAAAAGCAGATTGGCAATTAGGTAGACATGGCTTGAAATTCACATTTTGTTTCTGATTTCAAATTTCACTTTTTAAACTATATTTAGTAAAAATTAGGGGATGGTAGGAAATCCAAATGATAGGCCCCAAATTAAGCTAGAATGTAGCCTTGTGTCACAAGCACTAGTTTTCCCCTTCCCCACACAGTTTGTCTCTCTAGATGCTCTTTGAGAGCGTTAGGGTGCCCTGAGGGAGGGTGTCCTCCTAGTTCTAATTTCTTCTCAATCCTAGCAGCAGAGCTTCACAGTAGAGTTCAAGACTCGACATTTTATGCATGGGTCCGGGGCCTTCCTCTAATGGGTGCATTTTGACCAAATCCAATAATGTAATTTTTAAACATTGTTTTAAAGTTTTTGATTCTTCACATTACAAATATATAAAAAATTTTATAGCTCTCAATAAATATTTGCTGTCACTGTTGTTGTTGTTGTTGTTTATAGTCCAGGAAGCAGATCAGTTGCATTGTTTATTGGAGCTTTTTAGGAAATGATTCCTTCCCTCCCTCGGCTCTGTCACCCAGTGTTGGTGTCACCCCAGGCCAGACTCCACCCTGGTCAGGGCTGGCTGTCAACCCCCATAGGTGCTCTGTGCCTCCTCATTCAGGTCAAGCAGGAGAGCAAGAAAGCCTGGCTGCCGTGGCTCTCAGGAGAGAAAACATTTTCTCAAAGCCTCCAGTAAAATTCTTCTCTGTCTCATTGGCTCAAATTGCAACGTCAACTGTTTCAGGAACTAATCACCACACCAAGGGAGTTGGGGGGGGCTACCTTAAGACTAAGTAGGCCTATGCCCTGAGCTGAATTGAATTTCCCCTTTTTTTAGATTTTGTCTTTTGGTAATATAGTCATGCGCCGCATAATGACGTTTTGGTCAATGATGGACTGCATATATGATGGTGGTGCCGTAAGATTAGGACCATATAGGCCAGGTGTATAGTCGGCTATACCATCTAGGTTTGTGTAAGTGAACGGTATGTGTTTGCACAAGGATGAAATCGCCTAACAATGCATTTCTCAGAATATATCCCCATCGTTAAGTGACCCAGGACTGTATTTTAAATGTTTATAGTTAATAAATTGATACTTTCAACCAAAGTAACCCCCAAAATGCAAAAGTATCATGCTATTCATGAGATAATTGGAAAGTTTCACAAAAAGATAATAATCCAGTGACCAGATCCAGAAATGAGACACAAGTTTAAAGTAGCAATGAAAAGTATCTTCTTTGAAATTTTTTTAGGTTCTGTATGGGATTTTTATGTATATGGTAGATTGTTACAGTACAGCCCCCAAATCACATATCCATACGCGTGACTATTACTCTCCTCCATTGTCTTGGGCCTGATGTGTGACTTATTTTGGCCAACAGGGCGTTTTAGCAAACGTGGCCTGGCAGAAGCTTGAAAAGCCCTGCTCTGTGGGGGGCTGCCCTCTGGCTGCCCCGAGACACAGGTGAGGAAGCCCAGGTGAGGCCGCTAGGGAGGAATCACATCTCTCCCTCCTTTGTTGCCACCCAAAGGGAACGAGAGAGAAAGTACACTGAGTCTATCACATTTCTAAAAGTCCTTTTTAATGAGTTAACATTCATTGACTAAATCCTTCAGAAACTTGATAAGCTGCAGTTAGCATAGCCTTTCCCTAAAGAGGTGTTAAAGTGTGTTATAAAAATCAAAGAATACAGTGACAACATAAGACAGTTGAGACTTAGCTTATACCGTATTTACCTTGACATTCTCTCAAAGGCATGCAGTGTCAGTTGTACATGTGAGAGCTGCACAGAAAACTCAATGACCCAGAGGACCACAGGGGCCTGTGGGAATCCAGGACCCCCAACCTGGAGTGAAGAGCAGCCACCACATCGCTGGGTTTACTTGTGGATAAGAAGGAATAAACGTGTGTGTAAATGTGTGTGTTTACATTTTACCAAAGAACAGCTTTGAGAACACCCTCCCGGGAAACAGATTCCCCAGCACCTTTTTGTTGCTGTTGTTCCCTGCACTGCTGGGCGCTACAGGGGTCACTTCTGTCTCCACCTTTCCTGTGAACAGGTTACAATCTAAAGAGTGAAAACTCTATTGTGAAATATGCCGTTGAACCCATTTTAGGCTGTAATCAGGTAGGCAAGCTGGCAAGAGTGTCTGTCCTTTCCTTGACCAAGTGCAGATTTTAGAACCATGGTTTCAGGCTCCTGCACCTGGAGTGCCTTGCACACGTTTGCACAGATGGGTACAAAGTCACAGATCTTAGCCTTGGGAGGCCAAGAGGTCATCTGACCCATCCTTCATCCGGACAATTACACTTAAGCCTTCCCAGAAGGTCCTTTATCTTCTTTTTGGGGAAGAACAGATTGGGTAACACATCCTAGGGCCCCATCTGACCTTTGTCAATAGGGCCTCATTTTAATGATTACCGTTACAGAGAGGGGATTGGTTAACTTCTGAACATCAGATGCCTTGTCTGTGAAACCAGGTGGCTTCTCCACACAGGGTTATTATAAGAATGTGCACAGAGTGCTAACACCTAGTAAGGAGGAGATAGTACTAACATCCAGCTCCAGCGTAAGCATCTGAGCCCTTTTCTTTGATAGGTATAGTGATCTCTGACAAATGTGAAATACACATTTCAATAAGGGCCACTCCAATAGCAATCTCATATTCATTCCTTAACTCCTTTACACGCAACCTCTCGAGGACCTGTTGACTGTTCTTTACTATGATTCAATTTATAGAAGAAAGAGCAGTTTAAGGACAAATTATGATTGAAACAGGGTTATTTATGAAGGTATATTAAGGAAAATTTGTCGTATGATGGCATAGCAAGGTCAGCAGAAGTTACCTAGTGGAGAGCTTCTCAAAGCAAAAAAACCCCCAAATCACAAAACTCTTGTTTTCAGAAAAGAGTGCTATCAATCTGTTTCCAGATTTGAGTTAATCTAATGCTAAGAGTAAAAGACAGACTCATGCGATTGTGGTTACTCTTCTCACCCCTAAGAGGGAGTGGTCTGTTGATCTTTAAGAAAGAAAAAAACTCTTACAGTCTGAAAACACCTGATGCATCTCCAACCAGGTCGACAAGAGCACAGTGCTAGATTTACTGTCACCCGCCTACCCGAAGTAGGTTTTAGAAGAACTGAATTATACAATGGATTGAGCTACCTAGGGAAGTTCTCAGGTCTCCCCTTTAGCATAATCCTGCTTTCTGTGAAGCTGAGTACCATGTGACCTGCTAATCCACGACAAAGCCCATTAAAGATCCTCAGACTCTGGGATTTTGATGGAGTTCTTGTGTAGAGATTCTAGTGAAAAGGCCGTTGGAGAAACCGGTCTTGATTCTGGAATATGCTCCATCCTGTATTTTTCAATGTATGGTACAGCTACTTCCCAAACCTGAGTAACAAGGACAAAACAAAGTCGAAATGTTGATGACATTGTTTTCACCTGCCATTAAACAGCAAATTCATCTGAAGTCAAAACATAATCTCTACCTGACTAGACTATTTGCTATTTGCCTGCTTTTATTATAAGCCATTTGACACATGATCTGTATCCATTACTCTTTGGTTGCATGGATAGCTTTTAAAATACAAAGTCTGAAACTTTTCTGAAGTAACCATGAAGGTTTTCAGCTGCTTATTCTTCTAAAGCAAAACAAGCCAAAAAACAAATAAAACCTAGAGAATTCTTCTGTGGACAGAATTAAGGAGAGCTGCTCAAGGGTATGCCTGTGTATTTTCTAAAGCAAACTCTGAATGGTAAAGGCAGTGGATTTCTTCATTTGCTCTATTACCAGGCCACATGCGCTCTGTTCCTGAGACCCTTGCTACTCAAAGTATGGTCTGTGGACCAGCAGCATCAGCATCACCTGGGACAAGTCGGAATGTCAGCCCCACTCCAGACCTGAATCCGAATTTGCATTGTAACAGGATCCCCCGAGATTCACATGCACATTACAGTTTCAGAAGCTCTGTTCAGACCTTTCTTTGGTGTTTACCTCCACCTCCCACCTATTCTCTTTCAAGCATGACATCTTCTCAAATTATGGCTCTGTTTTTGGTTTACAGCTGCACTTTATCTGATTGCCACTGACAGCCAGGGAGCATTTCCTATTCTTTTGTATTACCTTGGAAAATGTATTCTTTCAAAGGCTAACCTCCTCAAAAAGATATTTTCACCCCCATGTTCACTGCAGCATTGTTTACAACAGCCAAGACATGGAAGCAACCTAAGTGGCCACTGATGGATGAATGGATAAAGAAAATGCGGTGTATATTCACACACAATGGAATATTATTCAGCCATAAAAAGAAGGAACTCTTGCCATTTGCAACAACATGGATGGACCTTGAGGGCATTACGCTAAGTGAAATAAGTCAGACAGAGAAGGACAAATATCGTATAATCTCGCTTATATGTGGAATCTAAAAACAAAAAACTGAACTCATAGATACAGAGAATAGATTGGTGGTTGGCAGAGGCAAGGGGAAGGGGGGCAAAATGTGTGAAGGGGGTCAAAAGGTACAAGCTTCCAGTTACAAAATAAATTAGTCCTGGGGATGTGATATACAGCATGGTGACTGTAGTTAATAATACTGTATTGTATATTTGAAAGTTGCAAGAGAGTAGATCTTAAAAGTTCTCATGGCAAGAAAAAAAATTTGTAACTATGAATGGTGATGGATGCTAACTAGCCTTATGGTGGTGATAATTTTGTGATATATACAAATATTGAATCGTGTTGTACACTTGAAACTAATATAATGTTGTATGTCAATTATATTTCAATTTTATTTATTTATTTATTTTTTTGAGGAAGATTAGCCCTGAGCTAACATCTGCCACCAATCCTCCTCTTTTTGCTGAGGAAGACTGGCCCTGA